GTAGTGCTCCAAGTGCGTCTTACAGTTCCTAGTTTTTTTCAGTGAGCCTCTAATTGGAGGCAAAGTTCTTTGAAGATTCAGTCATCTATACTCGTTTCTGTGTGTTATTTCGTCGGGAACAACTATCTTTTGACTTGGAACTAACGTTGCATTTACATAACATATCAAAGCCACTTGATCTTTAAGTGGGCACCACCAGAAGAGAGCATGTTTCCGCCATCTTGGCAGTGGCAAAAGATGGCTTCACTTCTGCTGGCAAGGCATTGCTGGAGCTTCCACTCCAGCAACTTTTTTTTTTTTTAATCCTCCTTGGTTTCATCACGCGGGAGTGACGGCGTCGGTCGGGCGTTGTGATTGGTTCGAAGTGACGAATCGCGCGTGATTTTCACGTGGTCCCCAGGTAGGCCACGCTATTTCGCGCTTGAACTTACAGGCGTGGAAGAGCGGCAGCAGGCATCAGCGCGAATGGATCGTGAACTCGTCTACGTGCTGCGTTGTCAACGCGAAGAGACAGCGTATTGTAGAATTACGTGATGTCGGATGCAAAAAAAAAAAAGAGAGTAGCATTTAGCCTTACAGTTTGTTGCTATCGCATTCATTGTTTCAGCCTTGTGGTGATGCTTATATTTTGTAACTTAAAGGTCAACTGCAACGAAATTTCACTTAGGTGGAAATGGCCATAAATACGTTGTACATATTCGTTAAGTTACGATAACAACAGTGAAAGATCTTGCAGTCGCGTATTTAATTTATAATTGGTGCCCTAATTGTCAGCAAGCAGACGACGCGCAGCTCTAGCGGTGTTCCCGGGCGAATCGGACAGAACCGGATATGACGCTTACCACAGAACGTCGCCGCGTCGCTCCATGGGAGCAACCCTCCCTGCCGCTGGATCGCTCCTTCCTGTGTTGGAACCGCTTTCAATGAAGCGCGTTTGAAACGCGTCTGTGCTGCCTTGGCACCGTTTAAAGACAGCGCGTTCAAAACGCGTTCGTGCTGTATTGAAGTCGGTGGGAAGTTCAAGACGAGCAGCGTTTCTGAATTCGCGGGGTCAGACACTGCAAACCCACCAGTGGGAAGCCCGGACCAGAGTTCGATAAGAGGCGTGTTCAAAACATAGTTCGATAAGAGGCGTGTTCAAAACATAGAAAAGTTACACACTCTAAGGGGCGCGTCCGCGATGTGCGTGCTCGAGAAGCGCGGAGCAGACGATTTTTTTCTGTCGTTCACGTCACTTCCGGCTAGCCGTAAGGGCGCCGTTTATTACAACACCGTCGTTTGCAAGCCTAGGTAAACGCTTGTGTTTCGAAGGCGATATTCGGCAGGCAGTACTACCTTTAGCTAGACTATCTATATATTGACGTTTTGCGGAGTGCCAAATTTCGTTGCGGTTGGCCTTTAATTGCAGCGTTCAGAAACGAAAAAAAAAACTCCCAAGCATTTCCCCGAGGGTGAACATGGTTAAGTGCGAATACACGCGGTGATGCTATGAGGGGTATTTATTAATTCGCACTATTATATTTATTAATCACACTATGGTGCCTTTATGGTGTAATGGTTCCTGGGAATCGCAATTTGATCACACGGGGGAGTTAACCTTAACTCACTGGTGAATGCCAACGGATTTTTTTAACTTTATGCCCCTGACACACGGGCACCCTGAAGTCCTTTAGACAAAAGGACATCTTTCGGAAAGGCGTTCGGGCGCAGTGACACACGACAAAGGAGTAACTCCTTTCCGGCAAAGATCCTTTTCGCAAAAGCAGATCCCGCATCTACTTTTCTGGCAGGAAGGGAGTACTCTCGCATACAGTGTGCATAATTTATCAATAGAAGAAAACGTGTCGCAACACTGTGGTGCCCTGTCAGTATTTTTTGCGCTGAGAAAATGTTTTCATTTTCAGCAGCAGTGCGATTTGTTGAAAAGTGAAGGCCTATAGTCTGTCCATACTCTCAAACGCCTGCATTACGTCACTTGCGCGATCATGTTAGGGTTGGCAGCGGCAGTTGCTGTGTCGGTGACGTAGTATCTCGTAACAGTGGAGTCTGTTCAGTCGGTGAAGAAAAAATCGCGCGTCCAGTGGACTGAAAAGGAGACCTGGGCGCTGATAAAGCTATGGGAGGACCATTTGGACGCCTTGCGAGGGCAAAAGCACAACGGTGGAGTGTACCAGGCGATTGCCGAGAGCCTCACCGACGCCGGTATTCCCCGTACACGGGCGCAAATTCACAGCAAAATTGCCTTCGCAGCGTTTAGCTCATCTTCAATGGAGCCGACGGCGACAAGAGTCAGGCCCACCTCAACTGTTGCTTTACCTCTGTCTCTGTGCTGAGACATTGCAGGACCACGATGAAACGCGGCACGCCGTCACTGACCCAGCTGCACGCAGCCATGTTTTTAGCACGACAAAAAACAAAAACAGCGAAACACCAACTGTTCATAGTTGCCAGACGAACTTAAGTTGCTACTAAAAACGCAAAAAGCGAAAGAAAATTACAGGTATGCGCATTATAAGCCACCAGACAATAAAAAAAACGGTTTTATGCTCCGGCGTCGCTGAATGTGATGTACATGCGCAGATTCCTTTTAATATTTCCAATCAAGCTGCTTCCACACACAGCGCCATTTTTTCTGCAGCGTTCTTTTGTGGCACCGCCTAAAGCAGTAGTCCGGTGCCGTGTGTCATCAGCGCCACTCCTTTCTGCAAGTGGTCCCCTTAGGCGACAAAAGGGGTTTACTTTAAAGTACTTTACTTTTGCCCGTGTGTCACGGGTATTACTCCCCCTCACGACCCGCTCTCGACGGGAGACTGAGAGAGAAGGCGGGCGCGCGAGAGAGAGGGGTGCGCGCGCAGCTGCAGCGAGCGAGGAGAGCGGAGGAGCGAGCGAAGGGGGAGGGGGTATAAGGCGCGTTACTGACACCGATATCAGCGTCGCGTCCGTGGCTTATTCGGTAGAGCGTCGCGCTGCGGCCCGCCAAGTCCTCTTTCTTTTAAAGATAGAGAGAAGACTGCGGACGCCGCCGACGGCGGTGGATGGTTTGGGGTCGCTTATAAAGTGTATTCACACTTAAAAGATGACGGCAATGGTGATCAAAACTCAAATTATTGGCCGATCCCCCACAGTGGGTATGAGCAACAAGTGAACGTGAACAAGCCTGGCTGGTTTCCGGTGCCTGAAACTGCCCACCGAATGGAGGTGCACAGGGCTGCTCACCGAGCACATGCGCGTATTCTCGTTCATTTCACCGCTGTGCTCCATTTATACGCTGCTTATCGAATTGATGGATGACGCTCGTGCGTTCAGGTTTTAAAAATGAGTGGCTGTACATCGCTAACGACGTTAGTTTCGTCGCACGGGCGAAGCGATGATTGCGATAGCAACAAACTGTAGTATACAAAGTGAGGCTGGCAGCTAACGGTTCTGGAACCTCCCTCTCGTAACTACAAAATCCTTGTGTAAGAGCATACGACCACTCCAGGGAGAGCACCACATGTTGTGGTCTTTTTGCGATCAGAGCGTAGCGCGTAGAAGTGTGTGCCTGCTAATGAATGCCGAGCCAGCGTGCGCGACCGTATCCTTTGAGGCAAAGTTCACAGTTTCTGCTGGAGCTACCTCCTCCCCCCTACCTATTTTCACGCTAGCTTTGAAGAAGGGCGAGGTGTTTCCTCTCTTTATCGATGGCGGGCCTCCTGAGCGGTGTGATGTTATCGCGTGCGCCCTTCGAGCGACTGAGGTGGGCCGGCTCGCTTGATCTCTATTCCAGCAGCGTTCGTCGCCCCTGCTTGGCGCCTTTACCTGCTGGTAACGATGCGCGGGGTGTTGTCAATCTGGGCATTATACGGGACTTGAAAGGCACTGCAAAAAACCGTAGAATGTGTCCATTTAGTTTTTATTGCACCACCTCCCCCCTTCCTCGCACCTTTTTTATGCTCGCACAAGGCTGGCAGGGTGTTTGCTCTTTGCTTCGACGGCGGGCCTCCTGAGTGGGTGGATGTTACTGCATGCGCCCTCCGAGCGACAGGGATCGGCCGGCTCGTTCGATCTCTCCTTCAGCCGCGTTCGTCGCTTTTACCCGCGGGTAGAACTTAGATGCGTGTAGTGTATAATAGTATCAATTAGGTTTTATACGGGACATGACGACAACGGCATAAGCCCGTCCAAACCTGCTCCAGTAGGGACTTTTGTCTGCTCCCAAACCCATCTACTCTGTTTTAACCCTGAAATTAGATGAGCACTTTTTATACTTCCTCGGATACAAAAGAATTGCTGTTTTTAATTATGACAACTTGGAAACAGTTGCATAACTGCGCTAGGTGCGCTGTCAATGGCCACCACTTTCTAGCAGACTTCACTCTCCCTTCACAGGGAGAGGCCGTTCTTTAAGGGCTGACCAATCGCGTCCGTTGCGACGAGTCAGCGCGTGGCTATCTCGACGCGGCGCCGCGACCTCTCTCCATGGAAAGAGGATGCAGCACCCTCACTCTCCATAGTGAGAGGGCGCGGCCGCGTCAGAAAAGCCACGCGCATCAATGGCTACGTCTGTTCAGACAGTATAACCTCATTGGTTCAGACCTTTAGAGAGAGGACATGCCGTGCGCTGACGCGTTGTGACGCGTACGTGTGGCTGGTGCCTTAGCGTTTTATTGTTTTATAATCGTAATGGGCGAGAAAATAATACGAGTACCGTATATCGGAGTCACAAAACTTTATAGAAGGGTACTTGAAGGGCCACTTAATACAGCTACACCAATGAAAACAAACAAACAACGGAACTGAGTACGGAACGTCGGGTGCTTCTTTTCCTCCGTTTCGCTTTTCGCGCCGATGTTCTCGCGCATGGGACATCTTTCTATATGCATACTCCAGTGTGTGTGCGTGTTTGTGTGCTTGCAGATGAAGATTTTTGATCTGGTGGCAGCTGGCTTTTAGTCTTCCGAAAGAGAGGGGGGGGGGGAGCACTCTTGTAACGCAATGTCGTGTTTTTTTTTTTTTCGCAGCGTGTTTTGGGACCTGTACTGCGCGGCGCCTGAGCGAAGGGACACGTGCGAGCACTCGAGCGAAGCCAAGGCCTTCCACGACTATGTGAGTACACTCGTGTGGGTTTGCACCTTTTGGGGATTCGATTGATATGTGGGGTTTAACGTCCCAAAACCACCATACGATTGTGAGAGACACTGCAGTGGAGGGCTCCGCAAATTTGGACCACCTGGGGTTCTTTAACGTGCACCCATATCTAAGCACACGGGCCTACAACATTTCCGCCTCCATCGGAAATGCAGCCGCCACTGCCGGGATTCGATCCCGCGACCTGCGGGTCAGCGGCCGAGTACCTTAGCCACTAGACCACCGTGGCGGGGCACCTTTTGGGGAGTAACTTTTTTTTTGTCCTCACAGCAGCATTATTCGTCATCTGGCTTGCTTTTATTTCTCTTTGTGAAAATCTCGACAGGCAAACAGTAGATAGATAGATAGATAGATAGATAGATAGATAGATAGATAGATAGATAGATAGATAGATAGATAGATAGATAGATAGATAGATAGATAGATATAGATAGATAGATAGATAGATAGAACTAGATTTACATAGATTTAGATAGATATGCTCAAAGGGAATGGACGTCTCTTAATGTGTAGTTTTTCAGTGAAAGTTTATCTCGCGCCTCTGCTTTCCGATTTCTTGGGGGAGCCTGCAGTAGTGATCAGAGGGACACTGGATACGTATTTGGCGAATGCTTGTCGCATGAAGTCCGTCGTCTTGGTTGCGACGTGGCGATTCCTAAACCGGCGTGCCTTCGTCGGTGCACTACTGCGTTCTCTCGGATTGGCACTTTCCCCTCGCTGCATTGATTTTTTTTTTTGCTTCCCTCATCCTCCTCCTCCGCAGTAATAACCCTGGCCGCCGTACTTTCGGGCACTGCTTTTCCTTTTTTTTTTTGACCTTCTTTCTTGCCAATCTCACTCTCCCCTTCTTTGTGTGTCTCTGGGCGCTTATTATTTGCCTATCTATTTCCTCTGGATTCCTCTTTCGTGCGTCGATCTCTGTCTGTCGCTTGCCTTTATTTTTGTTCACTTCATTTTTTTAGTTCTTCATTGTCCCTTTTACGTTGAGGTGTCGTCATCCCCTCCTCCTCCTTCGTCGTTGCCTGTTTTGATTTTCCTTTTTTTCCATATTTTCTTTTTCGTTCTTTATCCCCCAACCTCACTGCGAAGCTTTTTTCGTCCTTACCCTCGGTATTGCGGGCTGCTTCTCTTTTTGTATTGCTTCGTCGATTCCCTCGACGGTCGGAGACCGTGGCTTGCCCCTGTTCCCCCCCCCCCGTCCACTCTCCCCGACTGTGCTACGCATTTGCCCTTTGGCGTCGTCCCGCTGTTTTGGGGAAGGCTACTCTTTCTTTCTTTTTCGTGTATGTGTGTGCTTGCTCCCTTATCCCGCTTTCCACCTCGCCCGCTTCCCTATTCCTCTTCTGTCCCTCTTCCCACACCCAGTGTTCTTTTTTGTCTGCTTTTCGGGCCGCAGAAGTATCGTCTTCCCGTTTTTCTCTTATAGATTCTTTATTTATTCGCGTCTCTCCTAGTATGCTCGCTTATTCCATGTTCTGCTGATGTTGAATTTTTTCGTCCGTGTCTATCGCACTGCTGTTTTAACTGTTGCTTTATTCTTGCCAGTGTGTTTTTCTTTGTTTTATTTTCTAGAGCTACCCTGCTATATATTTTGGCGTATTCGTTCTGATGTACTGTGCTTTAATTTTTGTTTTCTGTCCCTCCCCTCTTGTAACTGTTGGCTTATTTTTGCTAGTGTGCCGTACTCCTTTCATTTTTTTTTATTCTCTCGCTCCCTCCTTTATCTGTTGTCTTATTCTTTCTTGCGTGCTGCGCTTTTCCTTTTTCCATCGTGGCGCCCTCTAGTTCTCCTAGCTGCTCTGCTTTTCCGAACCGTATTTCTCTCACCCTCTCCATCTACGCCCGTGCGTGTGTGTCATCGCTGTCTCCTTCCCGCCCTTCGCCCGATGACCCTTCCTTTCGCTCGCCTGCGCAGCCGGGTTCCCGATTTGTACGTTCCTCGCTGCACAGCGTCACGACTTCGCAGACTCTCTCTCCTATTCGCGTGTCTTCCAGGGGTACTCTCGCTGTTTTCTTTGCCCTTTCCCTACTTCCCTAATGTCGCTTCTGAAGTTCGTTTATATATATAGCGTGCGAGCTGCGCTGTAACCTGCACCTCGTTGGCTTCTCCCTCACTTTCTGCGTTGCCCCTTTTCTTCGCTCTCTGCCGATTTCCTCCTCGCGTGTTCTATCGGTCTCGTAGCGGTCTCTTTCCTTTTTTTTGTTGGTTGTTTGGTTCCCTTGGCAACCACGCTTTCTTTCGGCCATTCGCGCGCGTGCGCGAACTCACTTCCTTTGCAGCAGCACCGGAGTGTGTGTGTGTGTGTGTGTGTGTGTGTGTTTGTGTGTTTGTGCATGCACATGCGTGTGCGTGCGTCGTCTCGCTGCACTACACCTGTACCTGGGCAGCTGTGCAGCGCAGTTTAGACGTCGCGGGAGCCGGTGACTACCGCGGGAGGCTTATGCTAACCCTGAATCAAATTTTCTACTCCGATTCAAATACTAATTTGAAAATCGCCTTTCTTGGTCAATTTCACGTTGCGAGGCTGACTAATGTAAGAGAAATTAAAGGTCGAATGCCCCTCCCCCCCTTTTGTTTCTCCGAAAACTGAGCGCCGGTGTGCACCATCAATTACGCAGAAGGTTTCAGGGTAGCTTTCATACCATGGGCGTTCCGGTGCAGTAAACTTCTACCCATCATGTCTATCTCACTGTGTCACGGTCAAGTCGCTTGAACATTTCACGCTATCAGACCTAGATATGCTATGTTCTTCCTCCTGTTCCTTTGATCGTCTTGCACCTCTTCCTTCGCGCTCAAGGAACATACGGGTAAAGCCCTAACCACACGCGCGCATTACAGCGCGTGGCGTGTTAGCTCGCCATCATGCAACAACGTTTTGACTAGCTAAGGCCTGCCCATATCCTCCTCTACTAGTGCCTACGTCACCACACTACGACACCACACTGCTAAGGAGCTGCTTTGTCAGCGCTTTCGGGACAGGGGAGACAAGTTTTGCAACGCGCCGTAAGTACACAGACGAGCGTGCAGCAATGCGCACTTCTGAAAACGCCTTATCCGCGCCCATCGTGCTGTGATGGCGTCACCGAGGAATGGATAGGCCTTAGTACAGTGAACTAGATGTAGTTCACTGTAGCCTTAGCTGGTCTAGAGGGTGTCGCGTCGCGTTCCTATATGGTAAAAGAAGGCGCAGAGAGAATGGGTGCATCACGCGCTGATGCATTGTAACGCGTACGTGTGGCTAGTTAGGTTCAATGGACTACGGCAAAACGGCGTACATTGAAGAGGACGGGGGAGGGGGGGGGGTTCGTGCGTGCACTGTCATTACTGCGATCAAGAGATCGCTCATACCTTTGCACGTTGTGTGTTCTTGGTGCCGATTTCGCGTTCGCATTGAAGTGATACAGAGCATGAAGGTCATTTCGCTCGCTGCGGCGGCCGCGATTCCTTACGCCAGCGTTTCAAGTGCTTGAGGTGCCCGTCTTGTCGTGCATGCTCACATCCTTGTGGCGTGGTCACACTCGCAGTTAAGTGCACAATGCAGGCAGCAAGAAGGCTAGCCGTGCTGAAAACTTGATACAATAATTGCTGGGGTTTCACGTCCCAAAACCACTGTATGATTATGAGAAACGCCGCAGTGGAGGGCTCCGGGAAATTTCGACCACCACCTGGGGTTGTTTAACGGGCGCCCAAATCTCGGCACACGGGCCTACAGCCTTTTCGCCTCCATCGAAGAGCTCAGTGCTCGAAGCTTGGTTAGAAATGAACGAAGAAGGTCTAAAATACCGTAATTAACTGAAGTAATCAAGAATGAATCGAAATAATTGACTAAAATCGTTAGACACGTTCCAAAAATCGGCGTTGCAAACTCCGCGGCTGGCGAGAGAGGGCGCTACCGACTCGCCGAGCTAGCGAATGCCCCTTCTTTGCCAGCGCGTGGAATTCTGACGCTGGTGCTTCGCCCTCTCCTTAGGGAGAGAGTGCGCCCACAGCTTCGCGTAACCACGCGCCCTTTTTTCTCTCTCTCTCTCTGTATCGGGAGAGGGCGTGAGCCGTATCGGAAAGCCCTGAGCTGACACGCTGCAACGGGTATGTGCCGACTCTGGCCTGAGCATACGCATTCAGCGCCCTTTCCTATGAAGAGAGTGGGCGAGCAGCTTCGCCTTAGCCGCGCGCTGTCTCTCTCTCTCTCTATGGGGAAAGGGCGCGGCGCCGCGCCAAAATTCCACGCGTTGACGCGCTGCAGCGGCTACGTGTGGTCAGGCCTTTTACGCTTCGGCGGTGCGTCGTTGCTACTTGTGAAGGGAGCAACTTGACGGAACTGGCTCCACGCGACGCGTATCTGAACTGCTGTAATGATCAGGGAGTCGATGAAAGCGCCGCGAAAAGTAGCGCCCGTGTCGCACACGAAGTTTGCGAATCTCCCCAACTGGATTCCACTCGTGTCGGAGGGACCCTATGCGTGCTTACCTCAAACATTGGGCGTCACTGACGCTTTGGTTTAAAGACCAGTGGGAACTGCACGAACGGGATTCGCCGCGTTACAGCGTGATGCACTTCCTCAAGTTTTGCAGTAGCGGAGATGTGCCATGCGTTTTCTTGAATTTCGTGTAACCTTGCAGAACACGCTGTTATCACATGTCCCCCTTGCGGCGAAACTGCGGCCTCTGTCATATCTGGACCACGTAAACAAATAAAAAATCCCCGGAACTTGCCGCCTGGAGTCTCTTGTCTGCCCTTGAACGCGATGTGTTTTTATTTTTACCGGTGAAAAACTGTGCGGGCTCTAGCAGACGCTGCCAAAAATATCAACGCCATGACGAGCTGTAGGGGGAACTATATGGGCGCCACCTGTGTCTCCTTACTTTTGCTCGTTTCCCCTATTACAGAGCGTCACCTTGCATCGGTTGCGTTTCCGGTATTTTGGCATGGTAATTTGGGAGGACGAAAAAAAAATATCGCTCTTCGGTTTACTATCACTCTGAGAGTCTTCGGCAGTCGAAAAAGTCAATCCGGAGCTCGTGCCTTTAGAAGGTGAAACCTCTCTGGTTTAATTAGTACTAGGTGTGTGCTAATGGGGAAATAGGTAAGAAAAAAAAAAACGATGACACCTGAATCAAACACTATTCGAATACTGAGGGAATCATTTTTTTTTTTTTTGGGAAAAAAAAATGATAACCACTAGCCCCGCCGCGGTGGTCTAGTGGCTAAGGTACTCGGCTGCTTACCCGCAGGTCGTGGGATCGAATCCCGGCTGCGGCGGCTGCATTTCCGATGGAGGCGGAAAGGTCGTAGGCCCGTGTGCTCAGATTTGGGTGCACGTTAAAGAACCCCAGGTGGTCGAAATTTCCGGAGCCCTCCACTACGGCGTCTCTCATAATCATATTGTGGTTTTGGGACGTTAAACCCCACATATCAATCAATCAATTTGAAAGCGAGGTAATTCCACGTGTTATTTAAAAAAAATCAACAACTCGGTAAGTTTACGGTCACTTTTAGCCGAAAAAAAGGGAAATTACCGCAATGATATCAGTTGACTCATTGAAGCAAGCTCGCATACAGCCGCAACTAGGGCACTGTGTAAGAATGAGTGGACTAGAGCCATAAAACTGATTTCGTCCGCCGTGGTGGATCGGTGGTTTCCGTGCTCGGCCACTGACCTGATGGTCGCGGGTTCGATGCTGGCCGCGGTGGCCTCATCCTGTGACATGGTTGACGTGCATGTACCGTGCGATGTTGGCGTGCAGGAGCGACCGTTGTGCAGGTTAAAAGGAAAGCAGTGCTCAAAATTTTCGGAGCCCCTCCACTTCGGCGTCCCTCGTCATCATAACGTGTTTTTTTGACGTAAAACCCAACTTATTATCGTTGTTAATACAGGTAATTTATAACTGCTGGCTGAAATACAGCAGCCACTACAGTATGAAAGTGGCGCGCCGTCAATGGCTTTTCAATACAAATTGATCGAAATATTAAACCACGTTCATGAGTCAACATCATCGTGAATGTCATGATGGAGATAGTGGATTGCTGACGGTCGGTTCGGTGATGCTGGAGTTTCAAGCGGGAACGCCTTCATCCTGTGATCAGAATCGTGATCAGTCTAGCATCCATAGTCTCGTAGTACCTTGGGCAGCAGCATGCATCGTGGTGATTCCATGGTTGAAACGAGAAACATAACACCCCTCTCTCTTTCAACGTGGCCTTCCTCCGAGGTTTATCCATCGCTGCTTTACTATTCGAAATATTACGAAACATATTCGGCTGGTATTTCTGATACGCAGTATTCGATTGCTTATTCGAAACGTTCGAATATTCGCACTCCGCTAATTAGGACCGTTTTACTTCCGCATTAACCAGCAATGGTGTTTTGGCGCCCTGCAAACAGGCTGCAAATCGATTGGTATGTGCTGTATACCGTATTTTACTCGATTGTAGCGCGAGGGCTGACTTTCAATTGCATCTAGGAAGGAAAAAAAAAAAACGTTATTATGGTATACTCCACCGTAGCGCGAGAAAGTCCACTGAAGGTGGCAAAAATCTGAGAATAGAGAACAGTCGGGTAAATACGGTATTTCCTAGCTGTTCTTTTCAGCACTTAGTCGTGCCGGCACTGGTGTCAGCCGTAGAAGCGTGGCCTTTTGAATGCTACGTTTTTTTTTTTTTTTTTGTTGCTTGCGCGTTTCTATTTTTTTTTCTTCGAGCATCGGCGCCGAAGTTCTAACGTCACCGCCGGCGTCATTCGCGTTGCGCCATCATCGGTCACGTCAGGCCGATTTGTCTCGCTGCGGCAGCTTCGGATTCGGCTACGCACGGCCCTCTTTTCGTGCCTCTTCGCGCACTTATTTTTTTGAAGGGCTTCCCTGCTATTTTACGTCTCCTCCGCGCGTTTCTCTCTCGCTCGTTGCTCTCATTGGCTCGACTCGGGTCAAGGCCAGGGCTATGTTAAGAGCGGCCCTCGGGGTTTGCGTCCGTCGCCCGCCGCCTTCCCAAACCGGACGTCCACGTCAGCGCGTTCATCTCGGTCCTCGCGCAAGCGCACACCTCCCCGCCCGTGTGCGTCACGCTACAAGTGCAAAGGAAAGGGTTGCAATTAGTTGCTGTCAATCGCTTCGATGTGGAACCTGCTGTGATCTGTCGCTAATTGCATGAACCGATTACGCGCGAGAGATAAAAATCGGGGGGTACGGTTTGACGTATCGTTCGGGAAAGCGTATCAAGGTCGCAGGATAAGCCGTGACAATCTTCGGGCGATGCACGTATGTGGTTAACGCTCTAGGAACGATCGCTTGCAATCACGTGCGTTTCCCACGATACCTCCTGCATCTCTGTGTTAATGACTGTGCTTCTAGGGGCGTTTAAATGGTTTTTTTTTTGTTCACTGTTTTGAAGTGTAGAATGTCTTACCCACCAATGTAGAAACCCATCATTTGCTCAATTCGAGTTCTACGTTTCTATTGAGTGTTCGTGCTCTATTGACATTCGTGTTGAGTGTGTCCTGTTTTATTTTACAGCTTTTGAATTTGCTCCTCCCCACTATTGCTAGGATGACGCCAGTGAGGGCACGAGGGGTTAGCCCGCCCCCATGAAACATTTAGACCCCCTCCCCCAGGAGCAAACTTAAGTTTCCCCCGAAGGGTCTGGTCTCTCTTGTGGGCAAACACATGGCGTCCCTATTCTCTTCTGGGAATAACCCTTCTGGGCTTCTACATGTTGAAATAGAACAGCAAAATAAGTAAGTCTATTGTAGTTTTTCTTTTCATCAAGTTTTCTTTCATCGGTGATTGTCTGCGATAAGATAACGGTGGACTTCCTTGGCATCTGGCTGGTTTCTCATGTATTTCTGCCTGCCTTTTTTTTTTTCTTTCTTTCTTCGCAGGGCTTCGTTAATTCCGGTTACGCCGTCAACGGCATCGCTGCGCACGTGAGTACTTATCTCCGTTGTCTCCCACGTCCATCCCCCTAAGCCCCCCCCCCCTGCCTAATTTAATACTAAAGCCACCAGGTGAACATATGACGCCAGTGGTCCTTCCTTGCGGGAACTGCAACAAGCTTGTCGGTTCAGCCAGCAACCTCCTGGTTTCGGAAGAGCTCAGAATTGTGAAATTGGCTTATTTTCGGGAAAGTATGACGTTATAAACGCATCGCTGCGAAATGATCGTGGATTCGCGGTGGAGAGGAAGGTACCCGCTGTGGAACTGTTTGGACAGAGTAAGGCCCGATATCTGAGAAAATGTATCACAATGTGAGACTTGTTTGGCTGTTGCATCTGACGATGACACCCGCAGCAATAGGAATGCGTTCGGCCAGTAAAAGCTTCTCTGACAATTTGATCGATGACCCTCGAAGGAACTCAGCCGCCTGCTTTCCCTAAACTGTTCCGGGCGTCTCTCTCAAATGGGGTAATTAATCGACATCATGCTATTCCATTGTAAAGCTCCATGCATCCGCAGACGGCTCGGAGTGCGAATTTTGGACGAGATGTGCGTGCCCCGTGCTGTCCAGGGGCCGGGGCCAGGATTTTCGTGGGGAGGGGTGGTGCTTTCCGCTGTGTGTTTCTCCGTGCACGGCATAGTTAGGAAACCGCCATTCGTGTCATAGCGCCTGTGGAATAGTTCCCAAAGTAACCGTTGGAGCTCTGGGGCGTGTTTCGTTGGCGTATCGTATAGCCCCCCTGCAACCCTGCGTACGTATATGCCTGAAGTCATTGCGGCTTGACGCTCTAGCCTGAATCACGACAGATACATCGAATTATATTCTATAAGCTGTTGTCCTCGCGTCTTCGTTGTCATTACCAAAGCTGCACTAATGCTAGGTATTGGCGATAAAGGAGAAGCATTACTATAACATAAGCCGATTCTCGCCGTTTGCTTGTTCCTGTAGAGGTAAAAAAAAGGTCGTTCTCCGCACGCGGAGCTTTAGCAGTAGGCAACACACAGGGCGTTGCGCCGAATATCTCTCCCGTGCGAACCGGAGGAAAAAAAAGCGAGAGAGAGAGAGGAGAGAGAGACGTCGGCCCTGCCGCCGCCGGGAGGCGAGAAAACGGGGCACGCCGCCGACGCGTGCGCGCGCTCACTCGCCGCCGCCGTCGGACTGGTTTCGACGCCCGCCATTCGCTCGTCGCCCCTCCTCCTTTCCTCTATCTCCTGCCGTTCTCTTTCCCACTGTCCTCTCTCTCATGGACTCGCTGCGGTGGCTGCGCGAGCGATTGTTCTTCCGCACCCCCGCTACCGCTCTTGTCTCGTACCTTCTCTCTCCCTCACTAGTTGTTCCCTTTTCGTACCTACTTCTTTCGGGTCTGATCCGACTCTTTCTGTGTTTGTGTGTACGTTGTTTTCGCCCTTGCATTTCCTCCTCCGATGCGTCCCTTTTTTCTGGATGCGTTCTTGTCCAGTCTTTCTCCTCTCTTTATTCTCTCTCCTCGCCGTCTTCTTACACCCCGGATCAGACTCTCTCAGCTGTTTTTTTTTTTTTGCGTATGCGTTTTTGCTCTCGACTTCTTTCTTCTTCGCTTTTTCTTTATCGTATGCGTGTGTCGGTCCCTGCCCCTTCTCTCCGTAACACTCATTTTTTTTTTTGGGGGGGGGGGGGGAGGGGATTTCTTCTAACGGGAGCGAATCGTGGGTGGGTTTGCCTATTTGTTCATGCTTGGCCTCCGCCCTTTCTTTTTTTCACGCTGTCGTCTTCTTTCTATTTCCCTTTTCGCTTTTTTTTTTTACTTCGCTCCCGCGTTTCCTTCTCGCTGCCACGTCGCCTCTCCGCTCGATCTTTACCCAGCTCTCCGCTATTGTTTTTTTTTTTAGCCTCTATTCTTTTCTGCTGCGTCGTATTTTTTCTTGCCTTCTCTGACAACGTATTTATTTTCGCCCTCTCCATCTCTCCGTTCTTCTCAGCTCCTTTCTTCCTCTTTGCTGGGTTGTTCTGTTCGCGAATCTTCTTCGCTCGAGTGCGCGCTCGATGCCCTTTTTTTCTGTTTTTTTTTAATTCTCTCCAGTCTTTGCCTTGTATCTTTTTTTTTTTTTTTGCTGCGCTGCTCCTCGTTTCTTTGCTGTTTGGCCACTGCTTGCTTCGTCCTCTCCGCTTCTTTTTTTGCCGGCCGCGGCGATTGGATGATCGCCTGTTGCTTGCGTGCCCGCCCTCCTTCCATGCGGGGTTATCCTGCTTCCTTTTCCGTCATTCGCGAATTCGTTTTGATTCCTAGCAGATACCCCCTCTCCCACCCTCCTTACACACACCTTCGCTGTTTCCTCACTTTCTCTTGGAGTACATGTTTGATAAGATGTGTCGGCTTCAAGCAGGACAGGTGCTTGTTTCCAGGTGGTGAGTTCGGTGGCATACTGCACACATACGATAAGCCGCCACGAAAAAAAAAGGACAACAGCACTGCTTGAAAATCCTGACAATAAAAACGCACAAGGACGGGAACTGCCTCTCTTCAAGCGAAATAATGATGACAGTGATTGATATTGTGTCACCTGCCTCGGTGGTCTTGTGGTTATGGTGCGTGACGCTGACCCGCGCGTCACAGGATCAAATGACAATCGCGTGGCATATAATCAATGTAATAGCATTCAATATGCAGTGATGGAAGTGCTGCTCCAAAACGACACGGAGACAATGAGAATGACGAACTTTTACCGTTTGACCGACTCGTCAGTCCCAAAGAAACAAAGAAGAATCTATGTGCTACCATCCCGATGTGCTTACCAGTGTGCAGCATTATCGGCTCTGATCTCATTTATGCAACAAGTATATGCATATTAAGCATATAGCTCACTTGGATGTCATTTTTTTTTTCTCAGATAGTTCATTTGGTTGTCTTTTTTCCGCGGTCAGACATGTAGGCTAATGTGGTAAAATGTGAAAACGAGCGGGATTGCTTTTACTTCATACCGATTATCTACGGCTTATTTGGCACCAGTTATGTGGGACAGTGGTTACTTCTTAAATGTGGGGCTCAGCTTTTCCTGTTCGATTTCTGTCACATGTACTAGTATTTTAAATTGTAGCTCATTTTACAGCATATTTTTTTACAACTTGCCATTGTTTTATACATGAACTTTGCATTGATGGTTTTCTGTTAAATATACTTCATAATAAATATGAATATTTATGAGATGCTTCGACAATGCTCTCAACTGCAATTAATGCATGGCAAATTTAATATCTGCTCCTAAAAACCAATGGCTTCTCTAAACTAGCATTTCTTCCGCCTTTGAAAACACTTGCAGCTGCTGCAAAACAGTCCAGAAAGTAAAAAGGCACTTCCATCGCTGGATATGCAGCATCACAGATAATGCGGCAGTGGTGGCATTGTATCTGAGTGAAAAATCTCGTGGATGCGAGGAATAAAAACCATAGTTTGAGCTAGAATTGAACTGGAAATTCTGTGTGGCTGTTAAGTATTGCACAAGACAGGCACTCCATTGCTTGAAACTGCTGAAGAAAGACCCTATATGGTCATGTCAGGCAAGAAGCGTATGTGTAATGTCGCATAACAGAAGCGCAGAAATGCACCGGGCATCGCACCATGCGAATCGCATGGCGAGAAAGTGATGTTAAAGCATTTCAACGGGCTCGACTATAATTGACCATCTGCCACAGCATTAACAAAGAAAGTATGCTGTAGTGTTGGTGGGAGCGTTGCTTTACAGACGTTGCAGTGCGTACTTAGCTGTATCACGAAAGGTTGAATCATAGCGTGGTGGGTACTTCGCAACTTCACTCGTAAGTACCTCAGGGGAATTCACGATGGCCAGCATCACGCGCACTGGGGTTACTTCATGGCAGAGTTCAAATCTCCTGCGAGTAATGGTATATGGCAAGCGAACGAGAAAGCGATGCGCACAGGTCTCGATGCACGCTATCGCATTTCACTCTTGAAAACCTTAAAGGGGCCCTTTAGAATTTTTGAGTAGTCATTATTGGATTTATTGAAGAAGTTTATTGGCTCTTGAATCGACCGTCTTGAAAATTTAAAAACCCGTCGAGCACATGCGGAGTTACAGGAACTTTTTCACATGCTTCAAGCACTCACTCTCTCCTTTCGTACCAGCGAGTGCTTTAAAAGCTACGCGAAAAGGAAGACGACAGCACTGCAAGATGTACTCCTTCGTCAGCGCGCGTCTGTACCGAGCACTTTCTTGTTTTTATAAGAATGTGCCTTTTATTTTAGCGTGATCTTGAGCGCGGGCACGTGGCGGCCTCTCGTGGCATTTGCAGTAACCATGCAACTCGCGATGCTTATATGGGCTAATGGCCGTGGACTTTGGGGTGGACTTTAGGTTTTTGGCACCTTCATTTGGGTTTATGACTTCATTGTTGAGACAACAGCGAAAGTATAATAGATGACTTTATGATATGATTGCTAGTTTGAGGTCGTGTGCTGTATTATAAGGTGTGACTCGCATGTTCTCGGGAGCCTTGATAACCGATTGGCAGCGTTTTCTCACCGTGTTCAAAGAGTTTGCCCGAATTTGGCACTTTCATTAAACCTTTCAGCGCTGGATTTTTTTCTTTTGGTCGGATACATTTTTTGTGCATGTTTTTCTCGTATTTAGGACCTCAGAAGACCACAAACAAAAAATTGGACCAGTGGTGCAAGTATTTTTGGATTAATTAACGTGGCATCAAATTAGGTCATCAGGGCTCACGGATTGGAAAATGAGAAAAATGGCTTCTTTTTCGCTGCTAATCTATAGTGTACGCATGATGTGAACCAACATCTTACTTGTCAGCCTAATAATCACTGAAACAGCTTCAATGCGTCGTCCCGAAAATCGCGCTTACTCGCCTCACCTTATGCACCTCGGCTTCACCGATGACCTTTGTCGTGCTTCTTTTTTGTGGCTGCTTGCTCCACAAACGAGCCTGCAATATTTATGCCAATTGCAGTGGTTGATCATTGAAGAACTATGCCCCCAAGGACGAGTTGTATTGTTTACGTTTCCGAGATACTAGGGGAAATGTTGTGCGGTGGTGTCAATTGACACCGCCAGAGCCGGAAGGGTTAAGCGTTCTTCGGACTTATTAAAGCTTAACACTTGCTCAAAGCCACCTGTTTATACAGGAGGCTTATAAGGAGGAGTAAGCACAGCTTTTAGAATCTGTGTCAGCACACACAGATGCCAAGGTACTGTAGCTCTCTACTACAATATTTTTGAGACGTGTTATCTTGAAACAGCGAGGTAGTTGCACAACTAGGTAATTACAAAACACGAGGTGGTATACCAATCGATACTCAATTGTTACGAAGGCTGCTGTACAGTGCTTCTACATTATGAGAGCACATGTACTCACACATTTTTAGTCTGGCAGTATTCAGTGCTCTTCTTGTATGCAGTATGAATCCGGTTAAATCTAATTATCGTCTCACGCTTCTTCTTTTCGTACATGTTCATCAATTCACGGAACCCTGAAGTGCCAACAACAGGCCACTTGTCGCTGCTGTATGGTCAGTGCTAATGGCAACTTGCTTGATCATGTGCAAAGAAGTGACTAAAAAAGCAGCTATGATGTCTGAAAAAAGCGACGGCACTGCCCGATTTTTCTAATCGGACAGGCTTTCCGAAATTAACCCTTTGATGCCCAAACTTTTAATGTGGTATTCAAAGTTAATGAAAAAATTCGCATCACCTTAGGGCACGTACGTGCGTCAGAATTTTTGTTATCAGGAAAAAGAAAACATTTGTGGGGTAACTGGAGAAGAGTTGTTGCACCTGAGCAGCATTCGAGCACTGTCGTGCCTACATCTCAGGGGAAAGAGATGCTTGTTGATGCTTGTTAATTCACTCATTTAGCGTTCCTTTTGTGTGCTAATTTGTTTCATGTTATGACTCATTCCATCAAATTCTGTAGCCATCCTTGCAATGTCTCGCAATGAGACGGCAGTATATGTAAATGAAAGATAATACGAGGAGTTTCGCTTGTTTGCTTTTATTTTTCACACCAGATGAATATTTTCACACACTCAATAATTGAGCCTCTTCCGTTTCTGGATGTCTTCAGATCGGTGGTGGTTACCCACGTACGTCGCGTGCACATTTTGTCATAGGCTGCTGGAGGCCTGTGTATTGCACATAAATAAGCAATGGCTGCCAGCTGTGTCGGTTCGCGGAAGCTCCTGTTGCCCAATCGCAATAAATACTATCTTGATCATTCCATGGATAGCATGGGAAAGGGTGAGAAAAGTTCAGGACCTCTTCCCTTACGGGAAAATGGGTGCATGCGAAACTTTGTTTAGGTGTGTCTGCTATACTACTTCTTTCTTTCTTCCTTTCTATTCGTGGTGGAAGGTAAACAGCTCCGATTGGTACAAGAAAATCAGGCAACGCAAACCACCCGGGGGTTCATCTCCAGTGGTTTGCATCGTCTAATTTTCTTGTAACATGTATAGCCCAACAAGAAGTTTTACTGAAGCTCTGATTAGTTGCGCCTGTGCAGTTGGCATCGTGCCAAATGAGTGGCATTTCGGTGCCGGAACGTGGGATGATACCCGTTCACATCTAGGCAGCAACGAAATATGGCAGCGCTAAATGACGAGTATCAGAGACTGTTGATCGCCGACAAAGCCACGATACAGAGAGAGCATCAGTTATTCGAGAATGAAGCGTACAAAAACGCACGCGACTGGCGCACCTTTTTGTACCTAGCCGGCGCTCGGTCCTTCACATATGACTTTGCCGCCACCCTAATAACTAGCCTTGCTTGAACAGCGTTCTTAAGAACAATGGCTGCTCCTGTGCTATGCTGGGTATCAAAAGGTTTGCACAATGTGCTTTCGGGGATTATTTACATGAGTCTACGATGAGGTCTCACTCTTCTTTCTTTTTTCCTTATATAATGTACTCTCACGTAAGAGAAATGTGAGGCTGATGCTTGTACTGTATTACTACGCTCTTCTTTCTCTGTAGGGGGCTCTGTTTCATTCAGGGGGAGACCTTGTGGGCATTTTTTTTTTTTTTTGGTTGCATTTTGGCATTGGATCGAAAGCACAATGTTGTGTTAGGGTTTAATGTAGATGTCTAGTCACGGCTTTGCACAGTCGTTTTTATCTTTGGTGCCTATGCATTTGTGGTGTTAGAGTTTTTATTTGGTGTTTGCTAAATGCTTGTTCAGCACCTCCTAAATGTGTACTTAATTAGGCGAATGTTAGAAAACACCAGGGGATCAAAATTTCTGGAGTCTTCCTCTGGTCTGTGCCTTGTAATCATACTGTGGTTTGGCATGTAAAACCTGGTATATTACTGGTTGGACAATGATGGTTTTCTGTTTTCTGTATCTGCCTTTGAAGGTTCCCATGCAATCGTCTTGCGATATTCGCAGAGGCGTCGAGATATTATTGTGGGGATAGCGTAGTACTGTACTTGCGAATATGGATGTTACAGGTACATGCAGTTTTGCGGCTGTACAATGAAACAACATGTAGGAACATGTGGAAAAAAGCTATCGACAGCTTGATCAAGCCGCAGGCCCCTGCATTGGCGTTCACAGCACCGACATAAACACAATTAGCCTGCAATTCGGGAAAATGATGGACAGTGTAATGGTGCACAAAAAGCTGTAGTACATCTTTGGGAATATCAGTGTAGTCATCCTTGTCAATATTGGCTATTATTAGTCTTGTAGAGACTGGAAAATCTGAATAGTTCGAAAGACAGTATTGCCCAATCTTTCTGTTTTACATCTGTACGTTGCTGTGCCTAAATGATTGAAACTTCTTGCATGCCAAGTATCAGGGATATTGAGAAATAGAGGTGCTTTTCCGTGCGGTACCATTGCATGAGCGCTATTCAAGGGGAGAATTCTTCGTTCGGTCCTTTCTGTTTCTTCCAGAATCCTTCGGCACCAAGCCCGCTGGGTCAGATGCCACCCAATGAGGGCATGCCCGGTGGCCCCATGCCACCGGGCGGATTCTTTCCTGTGAGTACTCAACTCCTTCAGTTGTGCACCTTGCAGGGCTCGGTAAACAGGTGCAGCGAACGTAACTTTGGCTGATGTTCAGTAAATAAAGCATTGTTGTAGCGGAATCACTATTTCGAGGCTCTTTCTTCTTTTTTCATCTTGATAGACTTTGTCGGGCTTAACCCCCCATCTTGAAGCTGCCTCTAGTTTCATGTCATTGCCATAAATGTAACATAAAGCTGGCGCGCAATAGAAAGTTTGTCTAGTTAGAATACTTGCATGATTGATGCAGCTCAGCAGACAAAGACGTAAACGACAGCGCTCATCCTATGCACTCTGTTTTTTACGCCTTCAACTTTAGCGCTGCATAAAACGTGTAGTGTGATGCGTTTAGCTTTTGTAATTACACACGTAATACAAGTGGATATAAGTATCGATATCATCACTATTGTAGCCAATTCGGTGTTGCGCAATTATGACGGTGGCTGTCGTAGCTGTGCAAGTTGTCCCTGCAATTGCAGGCACTGCTTGCTTCTTCAGAGCCGATCCTATTTCTGTAGCATTTGTGCCCCAGGATTTGTTCTGGCACACGCATCTAAAATGAAGTGTCTATAAGTGCACTGGCACAATTTTTTTTTTTAATCCTAAAAGCTGCAGTTATTTTGCCCTTGTGCTATGAGATGTGACAGATGTAAGTGTAACTTCAGTCATTGAACATGCAATGCAAAGCACATGCAGGCCACGTTTAGCCAAAGGGTTAGAGCAGACCTGTGTAGTCTATGCAGTGCGGCCCAAATGACTGCCTTCACTGTGGTAAAACAAGAAAAAGAAAAGTATATGCATAAGGTGCTGCGCGTGCATGCTTGAGCTATTGTGCTGACCTGTGCGCTTGTGTCTCCCGTGGTGGTGTAGCTCTGTGTCGTGTGTAGTGTTTACGAATGCGCCGTTCGAGGTGCCGCATTGCCGCTTGTGTTGTTGTTGTTGTTGTTGCTGTTGTTGTGACCGGAGAGAAACGAAGGAAAATGTCTGAGGCACCCCTTCTTTTTCTCTCTTTCTCTCTCTCTCTTTCCCCTTTGTGCTCTCGTTTTGTTTTGTTTCCTTCTTTATTTCTCACTTGTCTTTCTTTTCTGTTTCTCTCTCCCTCCTCTTTCTTATTCCCTCGCTGTTATCTCCCTAACACACACTCACTCTCTCACACTGCAACGTTTGACTGATGGTTTTGCCTCCTGCCTTCCTCACGCTTCTCTCTCTCTCGTTCGACTCTCTCGACCTTCCTCGGCTCACTTCCGCACTTCCTGTCACACCCTCTACCTCGCTCTCGGAAAACCCAAATAAAAACGATGCTGGTCACTTGCATATGGCTTCCCCCTCGCTTGCTGCTTTGGGATGGGTGCGCTTATCTGTGCTGCTTTTTGTCTGTGGCTGACCCTAACAATCTGTTATGTGCTCCCTCCCCTTTTTCCTCATCCAATGTGCTTTTGCCTCGTGTGCCTAACCTTCCGTACCTTTGTTTCCTGTGCGGCGGCCCCTCTCTACTTGAATGTCGACTTGAACCTTGACCGTCCTTTCTGTTGTCATTAATGAATGGCGTAACTCGCTTTCCATTTCCCTAATCATCCCGTCACTTTTTGACCTTCTGTGGCTGCTCCTCCTTGCATTCTCATCTACCCTTTCTCTTTTCTTACATGTTTACCCTCATTCTTCTACATGCGTTTATTCCCACTCTTTTGCTTGTGTGCCTCTTTCATGTTCTGTTTGGTGTCGTCCGTCCACTTTTTTGTTTGTTGTTCTGTCCCAAACGACTTTGTTTTCTCCTCCTCTCCCGTTTTTGTCATTTCTCTTTCCACTGCTGCCGCTGTGGTGTTTTTGTCGTCCCCTGCCCCCCTCCTCCATGTGTATGTCTGTGTGTGACCCTCCCCCATACTCCTCCCACCCACCAGCAGAACTCGCACATGAGGCCTTCGCCGCCACAGCAGCCCGCCAATCAACCGTCCCCTCACCCCCAGCCCCCTCCCCCTCACAGTCAGATGATGCAGAACCAGGTGAGGAACAAAATGCCCCTCTCTCACTTTGCATCTCTCTCTCTCTCCTTCTCACCCCACTCCCTCTTCTTCATGGATTCTTTTGTATTTTATTTTGTTTGGGCAGTCTTTGTTCTTTATGTTTCACGGAGATTTTCTATGTGCTCAGCGTAGTTTTTGAATACGACTTTTGTTTCTGCTCATACGTATTGTTTCCAGACTTTCTTTAGTTCTGCCCTTTCTTGCCACATCTTGGTTTGGTTGATGTCTTTCTTTTCCGTGGACTTATTGTGTCTGCTTGAAGTGACAGCTTGAATGTGGAATGGCTTATGGTAAAATAGCAGCGGCATTCTAAGTGTACACTAACTAGAGAAACGGTTTATCCGTGTAAGCGTAGCTCTCTTGTGCAATACTAACACTGCTCTTGCCACACTAAAGTGCTTGGTAAACCAGGAAACATGTAAAAAAGAATACTGGGAAGCATTGCCTTGACGTTGCCTGGTCAACTTGATGTTAAGTTGTGGATGTTAATTCCACCTGCTTGGGCCCACATAGTTTTTCTTTATTGGTAAAGATTTATGGGAGTGTGTTCTAAGGGATTCAGAGACCCGGCATCGCAAGTTTTTGAAGCACTCAATAAAGAAACCATGCAGAAGTCGGAAAGAATTCCTCGAAATTTGTAACATTATGATAACATGAGAAGTATCAGGTATTCCCACAAACAATTATCGACACTTAGATACATATCACAAGTGTTTACCTGTGGGCGCATTTACCCTCGTTTGACTGATAATAAACCTGGGATGGTGAAATTAACTAAACAGAAAATTTGGAGTTGAAGAAATACTGCGTGCTGTGAGACTGTGGCCGGCACTCTCATTGGCTTTACAGTTTAGCCGCATTTGCGCACCAAGCCTGTCTGCAGTTTTCGTATGTGCATGTCACCTTTCGATGCTGTAGGATCAGGGTCGTGTCAAAGCATTGTGCTGTCGGCTGTGTTGAGCATGCCCGCCACGTCTGATGCATAGAGCCCACTCGAAGTTTGCCCCTGATCTCTCTATGTTCAGTAGAGGAAGGACTTTGCAACTTGCTCTAAGCGGTGAATTTCAGCTGCACGCTGTTAAAATGACATATTTCGAGATGTGCGCGCATTGGTTGTGCTAGGCGCTTAATCAAATGGGGCAGATTAGCTATGCAGGGTGCATGAAATGGTGTTTCTTGTAATGAATGTATCTCCTGCAAGTGGCATGAGGCACAGCAGTCTAGTTGGTCCCGTGGTTAATAGGTAAATTGTAGTGAAGCACTGTTGACAAAAATCAATATTACTCATCATGGGTGATTGGGACGACTTGACTGAATTTGGCCTCCAAGATTCGGGGCATAGCAGTTTTGTTGGAAGGGATGAGAATGGCTGAGGAATTGCCAACGTCGTCATTGCAGAATGTCAACATTGAGTGAGCTTTCTAATGCTTTAGAACTGCTCGGATTGATTCAGTGATTGCTTTTGGTGGCTAGCCAAGTGGTGAATCGTCCTGCATCTCCATGTATGATTCAGCATAAGAAGGGATCTTTGCTAAAACCTGATTGCTGCCTTTGTTGCAAAGCTTGCGAACGCTTGCGGAGCAGCATTATTTACGCTTGTGGAGCAGCTTGTAAAATGCTTGCGGACCAGTGTTGTCTTGCAATCTACCTGTGGCTGCAGTTAATGTTGTCGTGCCTTTTATTTTTATCTTTAAATTCCGGGCCACATAGTTAGTTGTTATGGCATATTAGTCCTTTGCATGGGACTAATATAGTTAGCATGCTATGTGCTTGGGTGTTGGGAAAATTGGGGGAATCGAATGCAGCCATGGCTCTATGACTGTTCAAAGACTGAGAGCTTGAAGAAGCAAATTCAAATGCTGGCCACGACAGGCCACGTTTTGCGTCGTCCCCCAATTTGCGTACACAATCGGCTCATTTATGTGCCGAGATTAAAAAAAAAATGCACTTTTACTTGATCAACAGAGCTCTGTTCAGCACTGTTCTTGTCCGTTCCTTTTAGTAGACCTTCTGGTAGGGATAGGTTGGTATGAATAGTATGTGTTTTGCGACTACGAAAGCTCTGCACCCAACTTTTGTTGTTAAAGCATTGTACATGTTTTCTGTAGTTTAGGCTGGCAAGCTTGTAACATTCACTGCTTGATCATATGGGAAACAAAGGGAAACTTGGTGCACAGAAACAATAATATCTCTGACCAAAGTTTGTGGCTCTAACCTCGCACCCTGGTACTGGAGAAAATGTAAGCGTATGCGTTCAACTGTGTTTGTTCGTTACTAGTCATGTTGACAGAAGGCTTTAGCAAGGAGTGCAATTACAGCTCCTTAATAGAGAGCTTTCTTTTGGGGACTCGCAACTATATTGTATAGCAAGTTGGGACACGAAAGGAGTAAAAAAAAATCTAATGCTTAAAACACTGTGTGAAGCTGTGCACTGTCCCGAAGTTGAAATTTTGCGCAGATGCTTGTGCTAGTTTTCCAGTGGGAGGCGATTGTTTGCGAGGAATCGGGAACAAGCCTGAGCACCACATTGTAAGGAAAGCATGAACTTTTGTCTTGTATCGAGGAGAACTATTTCAACAGTCGTTTATGTGAGGGGTGCAACCAGCGGTCATATGTTACATAAAATTTAAAAAAAAATGTGGCTGGGGGTCATCGCCTTTGTCTGTACTTTAAAGGCAACCTGTGCAAGTGGCAGAGGTTTTCTGATGTTCATTCATAGGATGGGAACGTCTTTCAGCGTCAGTTTTGTCACCAGTACTGAGAATAATGATATGCTTACGTGTTCCGGAGGGCGTACTAGTCCAGCACCGAGGATGGTGGCATCTCATGCAGTGTAGCGATTGGTTGGTTTGTAGGGCCAATGGGACGCAGTGTTATAAATTTTTTATATGACCATAAGTGATTAGAAGGCCTCTGAAAGGGTTATGGTATCTGCTTTAGCAACTTGTTTAGAAGTTCGTGTTCACTGTAATACTGGCATAGGTATTCCACAACATCCAAAACCAATGATGCTTGCAGGCAAGGAATGTCTTTTTTTTTAACATTAAAAGTGTCCAAGGGCTGCTTGATGGCCATTAGAGCATATTCCATAATTGTTGTTCACTTTCTTATGACTGAGTTTTGGGTAATGTACACTATTTTCATTGCTGGGTAACATTTGAGAGTGTGGACATACAGTGAAAGCTCGTAAATTCGACACATGTAAATCGTACACATTCTCTGGCCCAGGAAAACCTATTTTTTGTTCGGTGGCCTTGAACTTGTGTTAATTTGGTCATATTCGGCCTCAAATGTGCCAACTCAAAGGAGTTGCACATTTGAGGCCGAAACGGCATTAGCGGGGAACCAGAACGAGGCGGTGCATTCTACATCGCCATTGTTGTCTGTGTAAACCCTACGATAGCGCTTGTGAGAATGTTTTGAGTCAATTCCAAGCTAGTGTGTTTTGGTTGAGGACAAAGAGGTCTCGAGCTAAAGTGGAATTGCGAAAAAAGTTGCAAATGGTGAAAATTGCTGTTTTCACGCCACTCTTATGCAAAGTAAGCACAGGATTTACCTATTCATCATGAAAGTGAGTTTGTTGACATGATGACTATTTACTTATTGTTTTCTTAATATTTCGATAATTCATTTGATATGGACATGTATTTCAGTCCTATGAAATTGGAACTAACGAGCTTTTACTGTACTTTCAAAATAATTGAACTTAATTGTTATTAGTTACTCTTTCCCGGTGCTGACAAATTAGCGTGAAGGTTTGGTATCCACTGTACGAGACGTTAACTGCGCCACGAAGTGATAACTGAATGATAAAGTGCAGTACCGCTAGTCTGCCTTGGTGCTTTTACCTATGCGTGTATATTCTGAAACGAAGCTTAGTTAGAAGTCAGCTCTCGTCCGTGTCTCCACGCTTCTTTGTTAGTTTGTATTCTTACGGCGGCCGGTAATGCCTCGTACAACGATGCTGACAATTGGCTCGCTTCCTGTGCCCGATTTCGGTGCATCAGTACCTTTAAGAGGTGACGAGTGTTTTGGCTGTCTTGAGGCAGGGGCCACTCGCGCCAATTTGTCGGGCGACCAGTGCTGGAAGTGTCCTTTTAGAGGGCCGTTTTTTCGCAGCCGTTCATGTCGCCCCGGTACCCTGGTGGACCGAGGCCGGGCGTCCGGATGCCGCAGCAGGTGGACTTCAATGTGAGTACAATTTTCTGTCCTAATCAATAATCCTTAAGACAGCGCATGCTAATATGTAAGCTTGTTGGCCTGTGTGCGGCTGTGTCCTGGTCAGGAAGCACTGGGCATAGTTGATCTCTTTTTATCGCTTCCAGTTTCTCGGAACACAACCAATACTCTTCGTACAACTGTAGTTTTCGTGCTGTTGTGCGGGCACAATCGGAAGAGTAAAAGAGTGTGCCACAAAGCATTCAAAATCTGCCGTTGTGACGTGTGTTTACTGGACTAGTGGCCATGCTTTATGAAGGTGTCAATTATGGAACTCGCCTTCATTTCCTTTGCCCAGGAAATTCCTTGGCAAAACCGTTTTTTTTTTTTTTTGTAGTGTTCCACTTCTAATAAGTTTTGGGGTGCATCCAAATAACTTCTGAGCCTCTGGCAATGTTAAAATAATTTTTGGCAACCGAGTTGTTGCAATTAGATTGAATGTTGATGAGTGTTGCCATTTTAGCAGGGAGGGACAGAAGATGTTAACCAACGCATGGATGGCTGGCGCAGTGAGCTAGATAAGGAGGCAAGGCTTTCTACGTGAGAGTGGAAGCTTTGTCAATGATTATCATCAATGTTCCCACTGTTACCGTCTTGCAGAGAGAGGGTTGAAGGAGCCTGGAAATATAGTGCCTTCAAAATGTCATCATGCGATCACAGTTATTCCAGAATACTGCACTATAGCGTCATTCAAGACGTAGATGGAGTTGTGATTGGGTTTTGGCTTTCAGCAGGTGTGGGAAGGGAAGTTTTTTGTCTTCGAACAGAGATGTCTGGTTGTCCAGTGGCATATTAATCGACGCCTCTCATTGTGCCCTTATTGCTGAAAGTTGTGTGTGTGTATAACAAAGTGGGCCATTTTTTTTTTTCTTTTCTTCTTCTACGCAGCCACCTGGTGGTGTTCCTGGTCAACCCATGATGCCAAACAGCATAGACCCTACACGACAAGGTAGGTTCACTTTAAATGTTTTTGAATTAATTTTACTAGAAGCTGATCCATTTTTTTTTTTTCCTTTCACAATTGTTTTTACCTTAGCATTCAGTGTCATTTTCTTTTTGTCTGAAATGTAGATGCAGCCCAAAATTCACTACGGTGGGAGAGATTTAAGTTTACTTGTGCCTGAACAAATTTTGATAATCAGTCTTGTCATACCGTGTTGAGCACGTGAGTATTTCTCACATGTGAAATTGAACAGGTGCAAGACAAGCCTTGAATAAATTATGAACATGTGAGTTGTGTGGTGCCTGCACTGTTAAGATCTGAGGGGGATTTCTTCTACTCTTAGTTCAATGCTGAGCCATCTGCAACTGACCTCCGCAATTACTTACCATTGTATAGATTTTCTTGTGGTTTACAGTACTTCGGTTTCAGTTCTCAAAACTGGAACGCCGACAGGCAATCACAGTCGGCCTCCATCGGGTGTTTTTGCTTTCGTAAACCCATAAGCCGACCATTCTGGTGCCCCTCGTTGTTACCAATGCTTGCTGAATGTGTCTTGTTTGTACTGTTTCATTTCAGGTGACGGAGGAGAGTTTGCTGGATGGCAAGGTGCGTTGTTCATTGCCCTCGATCGTTCCTACACGATATTCTGTGTCCAGGTGATCCTTGCACGCCATTGGGACATTTGTAACTACCGTGTCATGCATGTGTCTTGCGTGTATGTTTTGTCAAAGTTGGGAGCGATATTACCGTACTTATGTGCATAATTTGCACGCTCCTAATATTTTGCCAGCTTTTTGGGAAAAAAATGTTTACTCGCAAATTTCGCGCTTTCCGACCTGCCCGAGCCAGATCTCCGACGCGCGCACCGCTGGACATATCGATGCTTCGGCCGGGTGTACGCCTTGCCGCGCAGACGAGCGCAGTCAAACAGGCTGTGAGTGCGAAGTCCCTTCTTCCGACGACGTCTCCCAAACTAGGGTCCGTAGAGTACCGCACCCGAACACAAACCTGTTGACGTGTCGCCGGAACTACTCGAGCGTTTGCCTCCACCTATCTCCCGATCTCTACCACTGCGACAATGGCGAGAATCGCGTCACGGCACCAATGACTTTCTGCATCAAGGCGTGCGAGGGCCTGTCGCGCCAACTGTTCTCTTCGTTCTCCGCGTCATCACTGCAACACACTCTTGGTCGATTTCGGAAGTTTAGGTTTTGCCATCCGGCCGATGCGTTTTGATAGTTTCTCTACGACGGGCTACAGTAATTATATATACGGCGAAATTAAAGCTCGCTGTTGTAAATTTCGCCAAAGAAAACTGGAAGCGTGCCTCCGCGAAGCACTTCAAGAGGTCGTACTTCAGCATGACAACCGCGTGATCGGTGCGCGAGAAAGCTAATGCGCGCTTGCTCGGTGTGTGCTTGCTAATGCAAGTTTCCTACCATTGAAGGGGGGCCTTTTCAATCATGTCCGGATGCTTAGTTCTTCTGGTATCGCCTTGTCATGGGACGTAGTTTCTCCAGCATTGTCGAAAGAACTGAAGAAAACAGGGCGTTCAAAAGTGCTCGATGCAACCGAGGTCGATTCGCTTTGGGGTGGGGGTGGGGGTCGGAGTTCGTTATCAGTGATTCCCCGCTAGACCGTGTGTGACCCGATCTGTGACTGGATAAAGTACGGGCTGATTCTTTCAAAATAATAAGTACACTTTGTTTGTGGTTCAATTTATTTTTTTTTTTCATGTATATACTACGTGCATTGACACAATATTTCGTACGCGCTCGCGAAATCCTTGCGTGATATGCTCACCCCCTTTTCGGGGCCCAAAAAGTCGCGGAAAAAAGTGTGCAAATTATGCGAGTAAATACGGTATGTCAAGACCAAGGGGTTCTGACGCATGAGAAAAAAAAGTTGGCTTGTTTGCAAGAATTTGCAGGCATTTTAAAGGTTTTATTCACTGGTATATTTTTGTAGGTTTACAGCTTTTTTTGTCATAGCATGTTGCTTCCGCAGCACTTGCCTCGGCAAGTATAAAATAAAGTAAAGAGGCACTGTGCGACTTCAGAAATGTTCTTTTATAGTTTTTCTGGGTCCGAGTCTTTTCTTACAGCATTTATGGCGATAAGAAAATATTTCGAGTCTCTGCAATGCCTGTGTATAGCCAAAGAGTGGTCTAATAGCCTTTAATGAAACATAACGAGGGGCAGGTTTCGAGGTCGACTTGAATTCTCGTTGGTAGTTACCGTTTTTTTCCCCCTGGCTCCGTTGCCAGTTTTCTGCATGTGTGTCGACTGGTTACGAGTACTTTAGCCAATAGCCAGCGTTGTGTTGTGCGTCTTAAAAGGAAAAAAATTACCATCCACTCATTTGTAGCACAAAGGTAGAAATGATATGCTCGCGCATTTCTCAGAAAATTCGTCTGATTAAGGATTCAGACCCAGCAGTAACTAACACACAAACATATTACTAATTAACTGTGATTGCTGACTTTCTCTTTAAGATGTCTCTTAACTCTGCTTTGCTCTGTGATCTGCTAGTCCCCAGATTGGCTTTGATCATTGGTTTTGCGCCACTGAATTAGGGCTCGGATGAAGGTTTCGTCTATTGGAAAGCTTTTTTTGGGGGAAATTCTCATGAACTTTTTTCTCATCTTACGGGGTGTCCACAGAACTGATTTGTCTTGTGTTTGTGTTGGCCACGATCTAGTGTTAACGCTCCGTCTTCACCACGCACGTCATCTTTCAGGACCCCCGTCGATGAACCCCATGAACCCTCGAATGAACCCTCCACGGGGCCAGCCCCTCGGTCCCATGAACCCCGGGGTGAGTGGATTCCTGTGGAACTATTCTTGTCTTTCTGGGTGAAGTGCATTGCATGAGAGTACAGTGAAGGCTGGTCAATTCGTAGTTCACGGGGCTGGGAAAAATGTAAAAAATAATCAAATTCCAAGTTGAATTTTAGGGTTACAAAAAGCACCAAGAATTTGCTAAACAAATGTTTTTTACACATGAACCCGGATATCCCAAAATGGTGGCTATAACTAAGTAAAGGAAGAATAGTCTTGCAATAAGTTCTACGTGAGAGTTGCAAGATACAGTGTTAGGAATAGACCTTTATATCGAATTTTCGGATATAAGAAACCTATTTTAGTGTAAGATGCAATTTTGATACAATGAGATAGTTAATGTCCAAATCCTGTTCTTGCTTAGTTTATAGGCAGTGGAAAAGCTGCAAGTCACCGCTCACGACTTTGTTCACAAGGTGACTGCAGCTCAAAAGCGCTGTCTTAAACTAGCCCAAAACGTGCTAACCCAAAATGAACCAGAAAATTCGTTGTTGTCGTTACCACATGGTTTGCATTGATGACAATGGCAACGCAGACTGCACCATCTTGTTTAATTTTTCTGCAAACGATGTTTTTGTTCCTTTGAATCTCGTTTGTGGTGCTTCGCCCTTGGCGTGCTTGGAGAATTATCCGAATTAACTGGGTTGCAGCCAAATATGACTGAAATACTGAGTAAGATCCCATCAAGCAAGAAATCTGCTTGCCGGGATTAGAGAACCCGTCATAGTTATCGAATTTTCCTAACTAACAGGTGTACAATTAATGAGCACTTCCTGTAGTGGGGTTATTGATGGGTGGAGGTAGCTAGAGTTGCTGTGTATGCTACCTCTGGGTTGTGGAGTTTCGCATCTGCTTTCCAACAAACAATGCTAGCAACTGTGCATTGCAGAAGCTGATGCATGGGTTCATTTTTATATTTTGTGATGGTGCCAGTGAAATTCATTGATGGTTGATGGCACGGTAGCCTTGATGTCTGCAAACACGAGGGCAGCTTGTGCTGAATAGCTGTGGCTGTTTGGCAGACCTGTGTGCGATTCCGCTGTGCAAAGGTAGCATATACAGTAACTCTAAAAATACCCGATTTCTCGTGGGACCTTGATTAGTTGCTTCGCATTGTCTGTGTACTAAAGCTGAGTAATTGGGTAATTGAGTAATTGATAATTAAAAAACGAGAAGAGGGCATGTAGCTCTGTTCATACTGCTTTGTCATTGAATAAGTCATTAAATGGTAATTGCTATGAGTGGCTTTTGTCCCTGAGCCCCCCTCCCCCCCCTAAAGAAAAGAGGGAATACTTTTGGTCTAAAGATTTGGGGGGGTGTAGGAGATGGCTCTGATCCAGTAGAAGGTTTTGCCTTAACCAAGGTGGCCGTGTTATCGCTACAAGCACTGTCAAAGCTAAGAAGCACATCCTGAAAACGTCTGTGTTGTTGAGATGTTCTGATCCTAGCCTCTCAGATAAGGCCTTCATGTGGGGAGAACGTTCTTGTGGGTTTTGGATGTTTTCCATAAGAAAGATTGGGAGATTAGCGGACAATATTTGCATGAAGGAACTAGCAGAGTGCAAAGAGATAGAGAAGAAAGTTGGTTTATTTTGCAGGCTCTGAGCTTGGCAGAGTGCGAGTGGTAGAAAAGTTCTTTTCTTGAGGGGCAGTACGTTGAATTGTGCTGTGTTTTCCTGCAGAACTATGGAGGTATGAGGCCGCCGCCCAACAGCACGATGGGTCCCGGAGGTCCTAACATGCCGCCCATGTCCATGTGAGCCATCTCACTTCGCACACGTTGCGTTATCGTTGGTGTTTCGTGGTGGACGGAAATGGTGCAGCATTTCAAGTTGATTGAGAAGCTACAGCTTGCCACTCTAGTAAAGCCCAATTTGCTCTTAAACCGAGATATATCAAACCAAGATGTGTGGATTGTTATCTAGCAGATCACATATCTCGAAAATTTTGCATAAAACTTTAACAATGCACCACCGACTTGCCGGAACCTTGTTTGCCTGCACATTTTGCACATTAGCAGTGCCTTTCATTCTTCGGGTTGTCAGAAAGCGTGTGCAACACTTGCCGCACTAAACATGCGATTCCTGAACAGGGTGTTATGTTTGACCAGTTGGTGCATCGTTGCTGAAAAGGCGCGGTGCAAGCTGAATAAAATAAAAACCCTCAATCGGTCGTCTCAGTTTTCAAGCCTTTCAAAAAAGCAAATGTGATTCCTGCTCATGTGATGCAGGTTGTTGATCTTAATTTTGCAATAAATGTATTCAGAACTGGCCAACTTAAAAAAAAAAAACGTAATTGAAGTGTTCAAGAGTAAAATGTCGGGCATTTTGTGGTACCTTCAGGAAAGTGAAATTGGTCAGGTCCAGTCTTGCACATTCTTGGGAAATTGTTGGAAATTAGTTGTGGAAAATTTTCACATAAGCTACGGATAGAAACATAATTCCTCCCCTTTTGGGCTCAAATTGCAAGAAGCCCGCTTATGTCAAACTTGCAAAAAACCTGGAATTCATTGTATCGGATGATTTGATGTATAACTTTTAATGAAGTTGCATATTCTCAGTGCGAATTTCAAGGGGTAGGTTGGTTTCGTGACACTGCCCAAATTAATCTGAAAAAGATGTCTTCACAGCAATACCACGGCTTTCTTTATTTTGTATCTTTTCACGGTATGTAGTTGGGCATTCGAGGTTACATCAAGGTGTATTGGTCATACACGAGAAAACATGGTATTTATTGATGTAAATAGCTCCCTAAAATTTTATGCACAGCTGTGCCTACTCATCGGGTGCTGGAAGCATTTAGTCTGCATTGGCCATGTTCGGAGCCATCCTTGTTGAAAGGAACACCATGACGCTGCCAAGTTTTTGCTGGCGCAGCATCGAGTGAGGAGCTTCGTATATTGGCCTGTTTTATCCTCTTTACTATTGCACAGAGGTGTAGGCAATAAAAAGAGATGGCGTTTGAAATTATCATTTCACGTCGGTTCCACAAGTACTAAGAAAACATACTGTGTCAAAAATTTTTATTTCATATGGTAAAAATGGGTGTCCATTTTATCTGCCTTCCAGGCCTGGTCCCGGTGGGAGACCTTGGCAACCTAACGCGTCATCGGTGAGTACCTGCATCCTCTTGTTTTCGTTTTAAATTCTCTCTTTGACTAGTAAAGTATGCTCAGGACAGGCTTCCACGCGTATGCATTTTAAACGTTACGCAAAAGCTTTATTCAAAAGCTTATGCAAAACCTGCCGTGGTTAATTGATGGGTGAGGTTCGCGATTCTCAGCTCGGCGGGGTTCAGGTTCTATTCACGATTGCAGTGGCCACAGTTTGATAGGGACTGAAATGAAAGAACACCCCTTTATTCAAATTTAGGCACATGATAAAAGAACCTCAGGTGGTGCTAATTTCTAGAGCCCCCCCCCCAAGCCTTCAATGACTCAGTCATAATCGTATTGTCATTTTGGCTCGTAAAATCTCAGGAATTATTATCTTTGCTAATAATATTAATAATATAACTATCATATTTACTCGCAAAATAGGTGCACCCCCAGTTTGGTCTTGAGAAATCTTTTTTTTTTTTTATTTCTGCGCATAATAGGTGCATGTCGAACTTGGTCGTGACCCGTAGTTGTGTACTGTATTTGCACGGGTGCAACTCAACGCCCCTTTACTTTAACTGGAGCGAAGAAAAATTAAATAAAAGAAGACCGCGGCAGCACTGTGTCAGTTCCCATGGGCTCGCCGAGAGCGGAAGAGCGGTTGCCAGGGAGTCGAAGTCAACTTTGCATCGACACGGGGGCATAGCTTCGGCTGCGCACGCTCCGTATGGAACGCGGGATCGCTTTCCCTACGCACTGCATTTAGTTTCCTGTCAGAAAAAAAAAAAATTGTCGTTGGACGTTTGCTACCTTGCCACAAAATAAGAGCTTTTAGGCTTCTTGACGTAAGCTTGAACCTTTGCTGCCACTGCGTTGACTTCACAATGTTGGCAGGTTCTTGTCATCGTTGATTTCCTGGCTGTGAACTTAAACATCGCATTATGTGCGCTGATTTTGGATCAGTGCTTGGGCGCGGTTTTGTTCGACGCCCAATCTTCAAGTTGTCTTGTACAAACTTCCCGCGACAATATGCCGAACCGTAGGCTAGGCTTGATCAATTTTTGTGCCCTTCAGTGGCGGTCTTGAGCGATCAAAGTTGCGGTTTGGTGCGGTTCTACTTAAAGGAAAGGGCGCTTGTAACACTCGAATGGGGGTTCGCGATTCGAGTGCGATCTCTTGGATAGGGGTGAGAACTAGTGAAATCGATCGATCGTACCGTACAGTGCACGAATAATCTATGTGGCCTGAAACGTAATCGGCGAATTTTCGTGATAGCACTTTTTTTTCTTCTCTGGTTCTTGTTTTTTTGCGTTCATTCAGTTGGCAACGCGGGTCTTCCGATGTTAATTTTGTAAATTTCAATGCATCACCTGCCTTGATTCTCAGACACGCGAGACTGCATGCTTCACACGTTTTGCACCTGTATAGTCTATCAAGGAGGTTTTTTTTTCGCTGTAGGGCGGATATTCGCAGATTTCGGCGGCGTATACGTTATCGGCGATCTATGCTGTAGTCAGCAATAAAATTTTCAGAAATTTTACTCCATTTACTAGGCGCATCCCGAACTTCGAGCCGGCATTTCTGGAAAAAATGAGTGCTTATTATGCGAGTAAATATGGTATATCAGATTCTCTGCACATTGAAGTTGTAAAATTCTAGTTACATGAAGGAGTTTTTTTTTTTTTTAAGTTGTATGTCACTTTCACCAATTGGCAGTGGTGGGGGCTTTGAGTTGCAATGCCTACCTTTGACTGCACTTTGTGGTGCATGCCTTCATTTAAACAAGATTCGAGGTAGATGCAAATAAAGATGGCAGCTAGAGACTGGTAGTACTTTTACTTTTCTTGTGGCAAGCACAGTTTATCTCTCTACATTGAAGTGCAGGCAAGACGGGGATTGTGTGCATGCGTGTGTGTTTGTGCGTGTGTCAGCTCTTGAGAAAGTAAACTGCTCGGTATGATGCTGCTTTGTTTGTTTTTTGTTTTTTTCAGTCAGCATGGTGAAATATAATCGCATCTAAATGCAGTTTTGATGTGTGTTTCGGAAATTTTACATGGACTGTGAATTGTTTTTAATTTTTGGCAGTTACGATATTACATTCTTGCGCACTCCATTTTCAGCGATATATAGTCATGTGGTGATGATTTGTTTGGAGTCATGTCTCTTTTGTTTCTAATAAGGTGGCTGTGGTTTCTCTTCCTTTTCTCTCTCTACAGATGAACTACTCTTCAGCGTCACCTGGTAGCCACTATGGGGTGAGTGAGGCCGGCTGACCAGTCTATCCTCTTGCTTAGCTACTGTCCGCCGCGGGGGAGCAGTGGTCAAGGGGCTCGGCTGCTGACCCGAAGGTCGCTGGTGCGATCCCGGCTGCAGCAGCCCCATTTGGACGGAGGCGGAATGGTAGAGGCCCGTGTGCTGTGTGATGTCGGCGCACGTTAAGGGACATCAGGTGGTCCAAATTTTCATAGTCCTCCACTACGGCGTCTCTCATAATCATATCGTGGCTTTGGGACAGAAAAACTCCAGGTATTATTGAATGTTATCTTGCTTGGCTACTGTCGCATGACAACTAGAAGTACTTGCTGCGTGCGTTTCTGTTTGCACAATTGTTGTTCGTGTATGCTCCTCTCGAGCACAACACAGAAAGTTTTTACTGCATAGCCCTGGCTAAAGGCGCAGGCTTGTCATATTTTTTCGTAATGTTGGCCAGTCGTAATGTCGGCCATGTCACAAAACTGCCACTATGAACGGGTACGTGCCACAGAACTTGTGCAAGTCCCTCTACCCACCACTACAACATGACCTGTAATAGCCCTGAGAAAGAGTACAGATAGAGAAAGGAGAGACATAGATGAGAAGAATGTTTGAAAGCGGGAAAAAATTCTCGCTAAAAAAAATTCAAGAGGTGGGATTAGAACATTCTAAGCTGAGCATCCTGACCACTTGGCTATCCAAGTCTGCAAGCACAGCATAGCCTTGTATAGCATATTGTGGCGAGAAGGTGGGAAAGGGCAAAGTGCGAGGAGCCACGCGTCTTGAAGCTAACGTGTAAGTTGACGAGGATTACAAGCGGCTTTGCATGTCTTTGCGCAAGAGAGACAAATGTTTATTTAGAAACAGCGTTCCGAGCGAGGCCCGGTGTCACCCTAAGGTGGGAGGGCTTCCTAGTCCAGGAACCCTCTGGCTTCAACTGCCCTCTTGACCCTTGCGACAAGTTGTCGCTGGTCTTCCAGGTCCTCGAGGACGAGCTTGGCCTGCCACGTTTCCATTAACAATAAAACATTTTTTTTTTTGCCAGTGCTCGGAGAGCAGGTGCTGGAATCGAGGAAGATTAAACGCTCGCACTTGGTACATAAAGATGCGTGCGTGTTCTTGAATAGGGCATGTCGCTGGAGTCATTGTGTTAGCAGGTGGCCTTGCCTTCTTCAAGGCAGGTACTGGAAGTGGTTCATCTGTCCATCTCGTCCAGCTTCCGTACCTTCTCTAGTTGCTGTATTGAAGAAAACTGGACTGCACACCCCCGTCCAAGAGTATACATATCTGCCTTGCGCTCACGACATAACATGAGTGTAAATGTCTCCTGGTCGTTTGTCCAGCACGGCTGAATATGGAGGCTGGGGCGCAGTTTTGTACACGTTCTGTGATAGAATGCTCAATTGCGCCGCCCAGGATTGGTCGAGGCTTGTCTGATGGTCAGTGAGAACAGAAACCGGAAAAAGGCAGTGCTGTCAGTCATCTTGTTGTCTATTAGGCAAACACCGGGCACAGAGTGAATGGCGAAGTCATTCCGTCCCTAACAAGTTATATAAAATTGTCTCCGTCGACCCGAATTGCATTGACACGCAAGCACTCTCGGTGGAGAGCAATTCATCCTCGTTTTATACACCTAGCCTATCAAGATTGCAGCTAGAGACTGGTAGTACTTTTACTTTTCTTGTGGCAAGCACAGTTTATCTCTCTACATTGAAGTGCAGGCAAGACGGGGATTGTGTGCATGCGTGTGTGTTTGTGCGTGTGTCAGCTCTTGAGAAAGTAAACTGCTCGGTATGATGCTGCTTTGTTTGTTTTTTGTTTTTTTCAGTCAGCATGGTGAAATATAATCGCATCTAAATGCAGTTTTGATGTGTGTTTCGGAAATTTTACATGGACTGTGAATTGTTTTTAATTTTTGGCAGTTACGATATTACATTCTTGCGCACTCCATTTTCAGCGATATATAGTCATGTGGTGATGATTTGTTTGGAGTCATGTCTCTTTTGTTTCTAATAAGGTGGCTGTGGTTTCTCTTCCTTTTCTCTCTCTACAGATGAACTACTCTTCAGCGTCACCTGGTAGCCACTATGGGGTGAGTGAGGCCGGCTGACCAGTCTATCCTCTTGCTTAGCTACTGTCCGCCGCGGGGGAGCAGTGGTCAAGGGGCTCGGCTGCTGACCCGAAGGTCGCTGGTGCGATCCCGGCTGCAGCAGCCCCATTTGGACGGAGGCGGAATGGTAGAGGCCCGTGTGCTGTGTGATGTCGGCGCACGTTAAGGGACATCAGGTGGTCCAAATTTTCATAGTCCTCCACTACGGCGTCTCTCATAATCATATCGTGGCTTTGGGACAGAAAAACTCCAGGTATTATTGAATGTTATCTTGCTTGGCTACTGTCGCATGACAACTAGAAGTACTTGCTGTGTGCGTTTCTGTTTGCACAATTGTTGTTCGTGTATGCTCCTCTCGAGCACAACACAGAAAGTTTTTTACTGCATAGCCCTGGCTGAAGGCGCAGGCTATGCAGTATTATTTTTTCGTAATGTTGGCCAGTCGTAATGTCGGCCATGCCACAAAACTGCCACTATGAACGGGTACGTGCCACAGAACTTGTGCAAGTCCCTCTACCCACCACTACGGCATGACCTGTAATAGCCCTGAGAAAGAGTACAGATAGAGAAAGGAGAGACATAGATGAGAAGAATGTTATAAAAGAAGAAAAAAATTCTCGCTAAAAAAATTCATGAGGTGTGATTAGAACATTGTAAGCTGAGCATCCTGACCACTTGGCTATCCAAGCCTGCAAGCACAGCATAGCCTTGTATAGCATATTGTGGCGAGAAGGTGGGAAAGGGCAAAGTGCGAGGAGCCACGCGTCTTGAAGCTAAACGTGTAAGTTGACGAGGATTACAAGCGGCTTTGCATGTCTTTGCGCAAGAGAGACAAATGTTTATTTAGAAACAGCGTTCCGAGCGAGGCCCGGTGTCACCCTAAGGTGGGAGGGCTTCCTAGTCCAGGAACCCTCTGGCTTCGACTGCCCTCTTGACCCTTGCGACAAGTTGTCGCTGGTCTTCCAGGTCCTCGAGGACGAGCTTGGCCTGCCACGTTTCCATTAACAATAAAACATTTTTTTTGCCAGTGCTCGGAGAGCAGGTGCTAAAGGTGCTGGAATCGAGGAAGATTAAATGCTCGCACTTGGTACATAAAGATGCGTGCGTGTTCTTGAATAGGGCGTGTTGCTGGAGTCATTGTGTTAGCAGGTGGCCTTGCCTTCTTCAAGGCAGTTACTGGAAGTGGTTCATCTGTCCATCTCGTCCAGCTTCCATACCTTCTCTAGTTGCTGTATTGAAGAAAACTGGACTGCACACCCCCGTCCAAGAGTATACATCTCTGCCTTGCGCTCAAGACATAACATGAGTGTAAATGTCTCCTGGTCGTTTGTCCAGCACGGCTAAATATGGAGGCTGGGGCGCAGTTTTGTACACGTTCTGTGATAGAATGCTCAATTGCGCCGCCCAGGATTGGTCGAGGCTCGTCTGATGGTCAGTGAGAGCAGAAACCGGAAAAAGGCAGTGCTGTCAGTCATCTTGTTGCCTATTAGGCAAACACCGGGCACAGAGTGAATGGGGACGTCATTCCGTCCCTAACAAGTTATATAAAATTGTCTCCGTCGACCCGAATTGCATTGACACGCAAGCACTCTCGGTGGAGAGCAATTCATCCTCGTTTTATACACCTAGCCTATCAAGATTGCATGCAGGACAGTAGTAGTCAAGACCAGCGATAATGCTGAAGGTTTCACGACTAATGAGAGATACCATGTTCTACCGTTGACCGGATTACTGATAGCTATAATATAATCTACAATATAACATAATCTTAGGCCAATAGCTGGTGAAAATGTCCACCAGCTGTTTACTTATGAGTACTTCTGTTATGTGATACTTTCAGAAACAATAAATTTTGACTTGAACCAGCATGACCACCAAACCTCTCCTGAAATTCTGACACTACCTAGCACCTAATCAAGGCATTAACGCACAAATTGTTGGTCATTGTGCTCTTTCATTTCAAGCTGTGAAGAACAGTGTCCTCAGTTATTGATAATCAGGCATACTAATCATTGCATTAAAAAATCTATCTGGATTCATTTTTATCGGAATTCACCAAGAGACGATCTGATGTGACGCATTCTTCGGGGTGCTTTCCCTTACTTATTAGATATTTGCTTCCTTGCATTCTCTCATGATTTGTTCAGCTCTGTCACAGAATGTGTACAATACTGCCACGTGTGTTTTATTCCAATTAACCCGGGTTTTGGCCACTAAGACTGTTAGGTAATCTTGGCGCATTCGCAGTGTTTGAGAAGCTTCGCGATTGTTTGAGATTATTTTGTTGAAGTTGCGTGCAGGACGAAGTAGTCAATGACGGGACTAGTCAAGTCGCGGACGGGAGTAGTCAAGATTGCGTGCAGGACAGTAGTAGTCAAGACCAGCGATAATACTGAAGGTTCCACGACTAATGAGAGATACCACGTTCTACCGTTGACCAGATTACTGATAGCTGATGCTCTGTTCACTGCTATCAATGTACAGCATTGATTGCATGTACACTCAAACCTCATTAGAACAATGTTGTACCTTGCAAGAAAATAAGTTCATTATACCCAAAAATCTGTTATAGGTGAATTCCTAACACAAAGTTTATTGCAAGACTATTTTTCATTTACTTTGTTATAACTGATATTTCATTATATATCGGGACTCGTTATATAGAGGTTTGGGTGCACCTTGTCTCTTCGATTTCCAGGCACTAGTTCGCCCAAATAAAAAGGTTAGTCCTCGAACGCTCCAGCCTTCGTCGACGTCACGACCACGTGACATCATTGCGCGCCCCTGTGTGGGGCACGGCCGAGCCATTCTGGAGGGCACGCAGTTAAGAGTCCATCTGTTTTTTTTTTTTTTTTTTTTTTTTGCGCAGGGTCCACCGGTATCGGCATCGGGACCTCCAGGCCCCGGTACGCCCATCATGCCAAGTCCCCAAGGTGCGTGATCAGCCTGTCACCCTTTGCCAGGAGTGGATTTCTTTTTTTTTTTCTTTTTTTTTTGAGTGCCGATAAATTATGTACCCTTCCCGCCACCCACCTTCTTTCACCGCCACAGCCGTTGTTGTGCTAGTCTGTATGCACGCTTTTTGTGATCACGGCCCTGCCGATAGGTGAGCAACGTTTCTGGCCTAGTGTCTGCACGCTTATATTTATGTTGGAAAAGTATAGCTACATTACTAAGAAATAGTGAATGCCTACTTTAAACGCTTTGAAGCAGCTGCATGTGCAGTCATGGCTTTTTAGTGAATTTTGAAATGCACTTTGAGGCAAGACAGGCATATTGTAGGTAAATGATGACCTTTGATGTTAATGGATTTGGGTGAGCCAAGGAAGTGCGAATATAAAGCCAGCGTTTCAAGAAAGGAGGTTTTTTTTAATGTCTCTGGAATGACAGTACCGGAAATCATTGGTCGTTCAAAATACAATAAAAGCTTGTTAACTTGGATTTGACAGGAACAAAAAGAATTGACCAAATGATAGGTATCAACAGAGTGATGAAAAGAGGTCTCCTACATCAACACTCCTTCATACTGAAATACAAAAATACGTGTGCCATCAAGAAGAAAACATCAAGGAGACTGAAAAGAAAGGTCGTCAGCTCACACTTAAACTGAAATACAAAAATACGTGTGCCATCAAGAAGAAAACATCAAGGAGACTGAAAAGAAAGGTCGTCAGCTCAGACTTGAAATTTTCTTGCTTGATGGTATGAATTTTTTTTTTTTTTCAGTAAGCAGGTATTGACTAGCCCAACAAAAAGTTGTACTGATTTTCTTGACAAAAGTCAATTGAAAATTGACTCCTTGATTTTTTTTTTATGAATTCATAAACATCACTTTTCATTGGAGCAGCTTAGAAGTTGCAATTTTTATCTTCTTGGAACTTCTTTCACAATGCAGTTGTGGCGCAAGACCGCCATGTCTTAATAAGCCCTTGCTCTGGGCGCTTTGCGCTTGGTGCAGGATTGTGCAGGATTGTCATAATAAACCGTGCTGTGGCCACTCATGGCTAAATTAACAGCTGTTTGACTCCATTAAACGATGTATATGCTGGATATGACCGGAGAGCACTTTTGAATCATTCAATTTTTGAAATTAACAAGCTTTTGCTGTTCAAGCTTCTGCATCAAAACCCTGGCTTTGCACACAACGGCCTCTTTTGTTCACCTAGTTGTACTTACTGAGCTTTCTTGTGGTTGGGTTTTGCAGTAGCTTACCAATAGGGGAAAAAAAAAACGGCATTGAGTGAAAATTCTGCACGCAGGGGCTTTGTGTTTTAATGTGTAGCAGTGACAAAACTGGGCTTAGCCGGTAAAAGGCTTGTTCCTGCTTTTTTGTTGTTGTTTTTGTTCCTTGATGCTTTTAGCCTCTGCGCATGCATTGTCATCATTTCTTGGCACAGTTTACTCTTTTGCGAGCACAAGTTGCATTAGTAGCGTATGTATTGTACAAAGGGATGGCATAAGAATTGAATCTGGCCTTTAGGCATTATCAATCTGGCTACATTTCTCTGTTTCTTGTAGTCAGAATGCAGTGGTTTGTAACTCGTTTCCAAGCCTGGGTAAGCTTTCTAAGTGTTTTCGTCATGTCTGAACAGTGGGCCTCGAAGCTGAAGCCTATGTGTGAACACGCCCTGACACTTGCCGAGCTTTCTGCTCAACTGGTGCCACCATCAAAGTTTGGTTATGTACATTCCCCAGCTTTTTTAATGCTGTAACCTATATCGTTGTTTTTTCTATTGGTTTCTTAACTGAGCTCAGGGTTTGGGAACTAGGCTAACCGCCAAAGTGGTCTAGTAGTTACGGTATTTCACTGCTGAACCAAAGATCCCGGGATTGAATCCTGGCCACAGTGGCTGAATTTCGATGGAGGCGAATTCCTACAGGACTCTGTACTCAGGTTTAGGCTAGGTGCGCATTAAAGAACACCAGGTGGCGAAAATTTCTGGAGCCCTCTACTATGCAGTCTCTAATGACCATGTTGGGGTTTTGGGATTTAAAGTCCCAACAGTTATCATGGGAACTAGGCTTACAACTTTGGCTTGTTTGCATCTGCTGTTTTTCTAAATCGTTGTGTTCGTATGTTGAGGGAAACCTTTCCAAGACATGTCTGACGGCATGTTTGTGTGTGCTGTTGTGTGTAGTTCTAGACAAAGCGCTTGCCCGCTTCAGATCGTGTGCAACTTTTTGTCAGCACTGTTATATTATTTTTTTACTCCTTTTTGGAAGGTCACTGGGTGGTCTATCCGCAAAACTGCCCGCTACACTTTTCAGGTTGGTAAGTAGAGTGCTCTAGGGAACAATGCTCTGCTTGATTTGGCCCTGATGCGAGTGCACTTGTTTAAAGACCCTTGGGGCGGTGTTCTATAAGTGTTCGCTGAATGAACTGTCCCTTTCAGTGTGCGGCGATCAGATAGAGATCATAGCTGGGGTTCACAATTAGTACTTGCACGCTTGCTCTCGAGATTTTTCGGTTTTAGCACGCTCTAAATGAACAGTCCACTCAATGGACACCTTTGAAATGGCTTCCCTGAATGTGCAGCATGATCCGCAGTTAAAGGGAACACTCAAGTGAGGCACGTTTGATATTGCTGGCCCCTTAACTGTCAGCTCATGGCTCACGCACATCACTAGTCTGTCAAAAGGTGTCTGAATTTTGAGCCACCAGTAGTCCTGTGTAAGTCTAAGCCGCCATGTTATTCAAGTAGAGCGAAATTGGGACATGCACTGGGCACGCAACTTTTGTCCCTAAGTGTAGACCAGTATGTTGAGGGTTCGCTCTTCGCAAGAGCTGCTCACACTTTAGTGAAGCTTTCGCGCAACGGCGAACAGTGGTGGCCGAGTGCAAGGCAGAGCGCCACCCGGTGACCTTCCACCGTCGCCAACCCAGCCCTTGATTGTTGTTGTGCTGTCGCTACGCTGGCCGCCCCCGTCCCCTCCTACATGTGTTGTTGTCCCCCCTGGCGTGTGTTTGTAGGTACCCCCGGCCCCTTCTCCCCTGCCAGCCATCGAATGAGTGCCCCCAACGCTAGACGAGGTGATGATGACCTTTGACCCCAGCTGCTGCTCTGCTGTCCGCCTGACACTCCTCCTGCACGCTTTTTGTTGCGTTTGTCCCTTTCCCCTCCTCTTCTTACTTATTATTATTTTTTCATTCAGCTTGTTGGCTCTACACATTAGAGCCCCCATTTAGATTAGTACGAAAATAGGGCAGCTGTCCGAGGGGCTCATTATGTGCTATAAAACCATAAATAATGCCCCCTGGTCTGTCGGTTTTGTTCATGGTACATTCGACTGGCCACCACCACACTCTGAGCCAGGTGGCATAAATGCGGTGCTCGCTCTTGATCCGAGCTGAAGAGTTATAAGAAGGCCTGAAGAGGATGCACTTCACTGCATCTTCTGTTGCAAACAGATGATTTGCAGGGGTCACCTGATCAGATCTCGAGTCACAATTTTGAGGCCAATGTGAGAGCGCCTAAGAGTGCTCTGAGATGCGAAGGTGATGCTTTGAAAGCACCAGTCGAGCGTATAAAGAGCGCTTGATTTCGGCCAGCCAAACGTAACGCGCGTTGCCAAAGCGCTTTTGGGTGCTTGAAAACAAAGCTTCCTAGGGTTGTGGCCTCGGTTCATGCTTTTAAGGGAGGAAAAACAAAGCAAAATTCAGGCAAGACACAAGAAGAAGGCACAACAACAGCACTGACTTACAACTGACTTTTCGACATGTGGGCACATATATGCCTGGACAGTAAAAAAAAAATAAAACATATGATGGCCGCATCTCCCATCGATATGTGCCTCCGCCAGGCGCCACAAATGTGTGCTTTGCATATCGCCTATGGTTCAAGAAATCCAGTTCTTTTTGGGAAAGCGTTACAGAGGGCATGCTCACACAGTTAGTCTTGACATGTTCTATTTGCGCCACTTCAATTATTGAAGCGCTGTGGTCGTGCCTTCTTCATCTTGTGTCTTGTCTTAGTTTTGCGCTGTTTTTTTCCTCGTGAGAACGACCACTCGAATGTACCATTAGATTGGGGACTTTAAATGGCTCAAAGCAGTAAACTCGTTTGTTTTCGACGTTTTGGAACCGACTTCATTCCATCTTCAGTGGGATGCAACAGTAGGGCAACCTTTGAACTCTAGTGGCACATATTGTTGCTGTTATGTGAAGAAACATGTGCAGCGTCACAGCAATGTTGAAGTTAAACTTCGTACTAGAGAAAGTAGTTCATAATGTTGGGGGGGGGGGGGGGGAGAAAAGTAATTTAAACTCCTGACCCTTCCAGCCTTCTCTGTTCTTACCCAAATTATGAAAGATGCTTTGAAATTTTGCCCCGGTGTCCTTCTTCGTGCTCTTTTAAAGAAGGAACAAAGATGGCTCTAAAACGTCGGAAACTAAGAATCCATCTCGTGTTCCGATTCATCCCGAAAGTTCCAATGAATTTAACCCTATCTGACAGGCATTTTGTTTTATAGCTTTTAGGGGCCATTTACACTAAGTGGCCTTAGTCACATGTGTACTTGACCGAAGATTGTTCTAGTTAACCGAAGGTTGTTGTCTGAGGCCTAGGTAGTTGGAAAAAGTAATGTGCAACTTGTAACAATGAGTCTGAAAGAGATGGACACTTACAGTGCTTATGGATTGAAATGCATCAAGTTAGGTCTACGTAATATTCTCTATTTTATTCCCACGGTCTTCAGTTTAAGTCGTAACGTAGCAATTTCGACTCAAATGCTTATTTTAGCGCCAATGTGACTTTTATAGCGACCAGACTTGCAAGGACGTGACATTATCGACACGAACAATGCATAACAGTTGTACTGCTGAAAAACTTGATGTTGTTTTTGAATCCGTGAGCACTATACATACATGAATGTCATTGTTATAACCCACTAGACTTTAGCAGAAAACTCTAAAGGGAACCCATGTTGGGTATTTCTTGAAGTGTTGTGCTATAGTAGGGCGAATCATAATATACTCCCATGAATGCATGTGTGTGTGTTTATCATCGTATGTCACCAGTTACTTGGCTATCCAGGCCTTTGCAGAATCAGTCTTACATGAGCATACAGTGGCATTTTCGGACAGTCTTTCTTTCCAAAGTTAGCTTTCATAAAGTGAAAGCTTTACTTTGACTGCAAACACCTTGGCATTTGCAGTATACCTAGGTGCAGACTTCAAAATAATAATATTTGCAGATTACTGGCTTACTGGAAGCATAAATATTGGTGACCTGAGGGGGTGTTTCTGCGTGGCGGTGCTGAACTGAACTAGACAAAACACAGAGCTGTCACTGAAGTAGCTGTACTTGGAGTACTTAACTGGTGGTGTAAATATTTTTGGGAAGGTTGCACTGTTGTATTTGTTGCCTTTTTAAACTTTTTTTCTGGCAGAAGCTTTAGTCGTGTTCAAAACAAAAGGACGTGCCTATAGTTGTGTTTTAACGAAGTGTCACGAAATGTTAATGCTGGTGGCATCCAGCAACCAGCTATTCTGTAAACACCTTAGCGTGTACTAGACACTGTCTTATATCTCCAGAAAATAGATAGATGTTTATGTAAGATGAAGATTAGATAGCCCTGTCATTTTGCAGTAGGCCAAACTTTTGTTAAAGTCTCGTCTGAAGCTTGGTGCAGCTTGTTCATGACAAGTTGGCCATACTGTGACCAGAAACTAATCTTAAGAAGATAACAGTGCACACAGACGAGGACAAAGAGAAGCGAAATGGGGCACAGCGGTTGACTTGTTAATTTGTACCACCAACCAGCCCACCAAGCCGTCCAGGAGCTTGGATGAATGTCGGCGCAAATATGATAACTTGACAGCCTAATTAACAATGTATTCTATTATCTGCTCTACTGCTCTTTGTAGAGTTGTTCTTGTTTCAGCCAACAAGATTGGCTCTAGGTAGCAAAAGGAAGCTTTCTTATGACAGACGACGCTAACATAACGCAGTCGACATAAACGGGTGCAGATGGGTCGACCACACCGTAGCATGAATGACCACGGTAATGTGTGTCAAACTGTCGGCTAGAGTGAGTTGAAACGGCATGCGATTTGCGTTGTTTTATTAATGGCATTCAGCTTTCAAAGATCATTCTTGCGTCACTGAATTGGGCTGTGTTTCTTGTAGTTGGTTGATGCTGAGGCCAATGAGGCTTAGGTTGGCTTCTTGCACTGCATTTCGTACGTCAGATGTAGTGCTATGGAAACTAGTGAGGCCTCTTGATGTGTTTGCATCGAAAAATAGTTTCGTGATTTCTCCACCCCTATTGCAATTTTTTTTAGACTAAGTATTAAGTAAAGATGCTTTGTACCTTCATAAACAAGCATGATTAATTGTACGATTGTCACTACATTCTGGATAGTGTAAAATTTTTGTTTTCATACTGCGGCCTCCGTAATCAGTTCTTGTAGTGCGCAGCCGATTGTGGAGGTTGCATTTACAAACGTGACATCCGAGCGCGAGAAGTGTGGACCTGCATGTGTTTTTTTGCCAGCCGAAGTGCTTGCATGGCCTCTGAAGCATTGCATGAGTACTTAATACTATGCGGCATTCGTTTTCTGTGAAAATGAATTAATGGTACGCATTTTCTGTAAGTTGTTAAAATATGTGTTGGCGGCTTAGCTCTCAAGCTCGAAGACTAGACAAATCTGGGTACTGTCCAACATTCCCGTGGTAGCTGAATGATTGCAGCACCAGAGTTCCCTCTAGATAATTTTAAGAAACTCTATGGATCACAAAACACAAGTACAAGGCATGGATGCATGGTGTCAACTCCGCGATTTGTGATTTATGGTCTTATGTGAAGTCAGCTTTGGAGCCCAGATGAGCGTGCTAACAGCTGTAGGATGTGCATCTACAAGTCACGTTTCCATCTCTGACCTCTTTTCTTGATGCGTGCATGTGCGCAGATTCTTCAAATTCAGGAGGTGATGGAATGTACGCCATGATGAAGCCCGTTCCAGGCGGTGGAATGCCCGGCGTAAGTTTGGGGCACTGCCCCCCTTGGCGCTTTCATGCCTTTTGGCTACGTAGTGGCATTCACTATATGCGTAGACATGGAGAGAGATTGCAAGCATACCAAGGAGTGTTCACAAAACTTAATACCCTCCGTTTTTGCATGTGGCCGGCACCACTACGATTTATGTTACGACTTCTCTTGCCTTTTACGCAACAACCAAAAATTTCCGCTTCATGTACATAGACATAGGTACATGTCATGAGATTCAGTGCGTCCTGTAAGTGCCTTATGGTTATGGTGCAAAATATGATGCAGTTGTTGAAGATCTGAACCTGTTCACAACTGGATGAATGGAATGACACATTTTTTTCCACTAAATTGCAATGCTTACACTAGCGAGCAGTTTATAGTATGTTGTGTACTTGAAGCACGAGGGGTACATTATCTGTCACAAGCTTTCAGTTACGAGTGGTAGCTGTGATTTGTGCCATAGTTATTCTGCCGATAGTGTTGCTGGGAGAAAGCAAAAATGCCATGAAATGTGCCGAGTGTTGCATTCCTCCAAATTCACTTTTTGCAACTTTCTTAGTGTTAACAGCCGAGCTTGAAATGGAGTTTAGTGCTTGCTTTCCTGTTCTTGTGACTCCGTGCAACTTGCACGTGAGGTGACCTGTGCAAATGTTCTTTTTTTTCCCTTGTCTTCCTCAGCAGTTCCAGATGGGACCCGGGGGACCAGAAGGCCCCATGGGGTCAATGGGTCCTGACATGGGCCCGCCCGTCATGAATGGCATGTCCTCTGGAGGTGAGGGAGCGATCCACGTGGCGAACTGTTCCAAATTATCACCTGTCCTCCCCCCCTCCCCTCCCACAAAAAACAACAAACGAAAAAAACGAGAAAAAAAAGGTGAGGAAAAGAGGGGTATGTCAAGTCCGAAGGCTGTGCGGAACTGGGAGGCCTTCTTTGTTCGTATTGTTCTCTCTGTTTTTGTTTTCTTCTTTCCGCTGTCTTCTCTTTCTCTATTTCTTCCACTGTATTTATCTATTTCTTTTTTTCCCTTGCTCTTTTTTATTTTCTTTACTGTTATTAACTTTTTCCCTTTTTTCTCTCTTCTATTTCTCACTTCTTTCCCCCCTTTTTTTTTCATTGTTATACGGAATTTCGCCTGTATTATGCCAAGCAACAACAGCATATGACAGCCCAGGCCCCCTAAAGTGCTCGGCACTTAAAACACAAACAGGGGCAAAATGCAAATGGTTGCCTGTAGATCAATACAACTTGAGAAGTACAAAGAGGCCCTGCCCACACGACTGAGGCTTGTCAGCCGATCGCCTCCGCGACTTAAGAAATATTCTTATCCATACGCTCAGCGATGTCCTCCCGTGGCAGGGTCACCGGCCGTCTGACTCATGACAGCAGTCTGGAGTGCGGACTTGTATGCACCTGTCGTTGGAAAGGAGCTGCTGCTGACTTCTTTTGTGTCCAACTATAGTTGGATTCAGAGCTGCTTCAATTGAAGTGCTGGCTTATCCCAAGCTGTTACCGTTTTCTGCTTTATTTCTTGCATGCCTGTGTATCTGAAAGAGGTGCCGGGTATGTCATGAAGCATTGTCATATGTGCAGTCATAGCTTATTGTAACGAAGTCTCATATGACATGGAAATGATTTCATTAGGTCTGGCAATTTGTTATGAACATACATCCATAGCATTGTATCTATTGACTAGCTTTTCACTTGCTAACGAATTATTGTTGTAACCAATACTTTGTTATATGTTTGTTGTATTGAAGTTTGGGTGCACTACTTTTCATGAGGCATGTGCAAAACGTTGAATTTCTCTATTGGCATCATTAGGCTGCACCTAGCAAAGAAACAACCTGTTCGGTTCATTAGCGATTTTTCGCTAACTTCTTCTCTATTCAGTGAAAGCTCATAAATTCGGATTTCACCGGACACTAAAAACTGTCTGAATTAACCGAATGGAGAATTATTGATAGTTATCAAGAGAACAATCAACTGTTTCATCAATGCACTATCATTTTCCTGAGGAATACATAAATGCAGTATTTGTTGTTGCAGGAGAGCAGTGAAAATGCTGCAATTTTTCTCAGTTGAGACTTCGTTCACGTTGTGAATGTGGCTTAAGACCTTGTGTCTTAAGCCGAGAAGTGCCCTGAAACTATTCCATACAATGTACCAACAACAGTGAGTTTGGCTGGCGACCAAGTCTTTCTTGAATGGGCACTAAAAGAGCAAAACTATTTTCCGCGCATTAGTAAAGTGCAATTTCACAATCTTGAAAACGCCACTCTTGCCACTACATGAGGCTTGGTTACCGAAAAATTGCGCGAAAAGAAAATGCGGGTGGAGACGCCACTTTGAGGTTCCCACATTAGACACCGTGATGTAAATTTTGAAGGCATCCACTGGGTCCTATGTAGTTTCTACTCAATAAAAATGAAGTACATTGTCATCTCTGGGTGCCATAGACCTAGTGCGCAAAGTTTCGGAAAATTTCATCTGGCTAATGTTGTCAAAATACGAAAAATATGTTTTGAAATTTCATTTGTCGGAAGTGGAGATTTCAGCACAAAATACAAATTACAACTTCAACCTTGATCTTCTCTGCTAATAATGAACTTATGACAGTGAAACCTATGGCATTAGCATTCTCAGAGTGCAGTTTATCAATCTAACCAAGTCATTCTTTTATTTAGAGTCCCTTTAAAGACCCTTGGCCATTCGCGGTGTCCGCTGATGCTGGCTTCCCTGCTTTGCGTCGCATATTCGCATGCCTTTGTGCTTGGTGCCCTCCGAGGATCGTCCAAATTAAATGGTCTCCTTTCCTGCCAGATATTACTGACTCGAGAGTTTGGTGCCGTGCTGGCTGGTCCCAGAGAACGTGTCCGAATTATCCAAATTTTCAGAATGAACGTGTGTCACCTCTACGAGTTTTTACTGTACCTCAGTGATATGCTTGCCCCCAAGTGTGCCCACATAACAGTGGTATGACCCCTGTTCCCCTACGCAGGTGATGGCTTGGACGGCATGAAGAACTCGCCGGCCAATGGGCCCGGCACGCCGCGAGAGGACGGGCCTCCCATGGGCGATTATGGGATTCCCGGATACGGACAGGAAAATGTGAGTGAAGCAATGCCGTGTCATCTTGCGTCGAGCTTGTGTCGTGTGGCTGGTGTTAATCGTCTTCTCTGCCCATTGGGGCATCTATGGTGGTGGTAGTAGCTAACACTGTACGAGTTTCGACACGCCGAGATTCGGAAATGTGGAAAGTTGGGCGCGTTGTTTGTATAAATTATATTGAACAGCGTGAAAAACAGGAAGACCTTGTCTATGTCCTGTTGTCTCTCTCGCTGTTACTTGTAGTGTGTGACGAAGTATCACATTAGCTATATTAGTCGTACTATACTGGGTTTTATTAGTCAAGAGCAGTGGGGATTTTCGCCGTCAGATGACCATCCTACCGCCAATTGGTGTCACAGCATCAATGTGGCGTCGCGGCTGCTTTGTGACATGCTTTGTGGGTCCTGTCATGAGCGCAGCGCGCAAAGGTGGTTGGCTGCGATGTCACAATGATATGGCGGCGACACCATGTGCTGGATGGGGTTACTTTGATGACGAAAAGCTGCGCTGCTCTGGACTTGTAAACGAACGTTGTGCATATATTGCAAATCTATGGGGAGGTCAGTATCTCTTCATTATTAAGGTCTTTCAAGTGACACTGTATAACAGATTATGCAGACAATGAATGTGACCGGTAGTTACCGGGACACAAATCCCAGCACGTTACCACTGAAGCTTCTTCATGGGATCCTGCAACACATTTTGTACGTAGTGGGCAAAGGCTACCGATCAGAAGTTGAAAGGCTGCTGTGAGCATGTGAGCTGAAGGTTACAACACTGCAAACTGCAGTTCAGTGTGTACAATTTCGATTCAAGCTTACTGTTTTATTTCCCACAATGCTCTCGTAAGGCTTCATTGGGCAACACCAAGCATGCAACACGCATGCTATTTCAAATGCTGCGTGCCGCAGTCTGTCGCTCATCTTGCATCGAGCTCACTTCGGTAGTACTCGCAGGCGCACGTCATATTTTCCAAAACCACCGGTGCACTTTCCAGCGCGCACTTGCTGACTTGCATGTGTCTGCTTTGTTATATCTTGGCAGACATTATTTTAATTAAAGAGACGTGGCATGCAAATGGGGACGCTTGGAAGAACTCAAGACACCACAAATGCAGAGAAAGAATGCACATTTGTTTCACGAAACATACCGACAATTTACTAATCGCCGTACGGATGTGGTGTATAAGATTCCGCTCAGCTGCGGCCACTTTTGTGTAGGGCAAGCAGGTCGCTGCATTAACCCTAGACTAATTGAAAAGATAAGAGATAGCTAGCCGGAGGCTTACTATCAGATCAAACTTTACATTGTAGAGAGTGTAAATGCATGCTGAAATTCGGTGGATGCACTGTTTTCTAGGGGCACGGTATTCGAGAAACGTGCATAATGGTTGAGGTTTGGCGTATCAATAATGTAGGTATAGCGCATGTGTGCGCGAACCGTCGATGAGCCCCCATAAATAAGAAATCAGGTGTCTGAATAGTTACCTCATAAACCACCACGCATGCTGTATTCATACGTTCAGCTATCGCATGTGGATGGGCAGTAATGTTTTCGTGCCCTCTTTCCTTTCCGGCCTTGTGCGCTTTTGCAGTTGTTAGTCGACGATTGTGGTGTCTCGACTTCTCTCTGGTGTCCGTGTTTGCACACACGATCTCGTTGACGGGAAATACCTGTGATCGAGCTTGGCTCTCTGTCATTTTAAGACATCATTTGTTACTTTGTCCACGGAAACCACTCTGAAATGCACCATTAGTTTACTGCTTTTGCGCAGTCAGGATGACGCAGAACAAAAGCCAGTATTCAGAGGGTTCTCACAAGCTTTAGCATTTAAACTTGGCAAGGTGGCGCCTAGCTTAGCAAAACATCTGTGGTACAAAACGATAAAGAAGAAGCACGAAGAAAGCCCATAGTGTGCCCAGTCTTTCAACTAGAGACACCAAAGGCGTCATTGTACCTTAGGTACCTTTCTACAAGAATGCATATTTTAAAATAGAGCTGTGGTATACATTCGAACCTCATTGTAACAAAGTTGCATCTTACACGAAAATAGGTTCGTTAGATCCAGGAATTCGTTATAGAAGTTTATTCCTAACAGTATTATTCCTAACAGCAGTATTACGTCAATGAAACAGAGCCTTTCACTACAGTCACTTGAATCACGTCGCAAAGCATCTCGTCTCATACTTTTTCACAAGATAATCAATCATCCACTTTTGAAAGCTCAGTTCATTACCACTCCTGCCTATTGCTCAGCTCGTTTAGATCATCAACATAAGGTACACGTCATTAGCTGCCGCACTAACAGTTTTCATCATTCCTTCGTCCCACGCACATCCAACGACTGGAACCACCTTCCCTCAGACATGGTTTCCATTTCAAGTCACGACTTGTTCTCATCTACAGTACAGAATTACTTACGTGATGACACGTGAAGTGTATATTGTACATATATATTTTTGTACTCTGTTTGCCCCATTCTGATGATACTTACACGTACATTCATTGTACTGCCTAACATCGAATTTTCATGTTTTGTAATTTTTATTATTTTGATGTTACTATGTTTGCTCTTGGTTATAGTTTTTTTTTCTGTACCCCACTCCCCTCTGTAAAGCTATGTGCGATTGAGGGTAAAATAAATGAAATGAAATGAAATGAAAAAAACACTATGTACTGCAATACTATTTTTCATTTACTTTGTTATAACTGATATTTGGTTATATCGAGGTTTGAGTATAGTTGCTTTTGATAGGGTTGTGAGAGGGTTAGCATGAGCTGTGGCATCTCTGTAGTCGCATTCTTGGAAATGGATATATCTGAGTGACGTGCGAAAAATAAACTAGTTGGAAAGTTGACATCCTATCCTGTCCTTTTTTATGTGTGTGTATGTGTATGTCACTCGCACTCGTCGCAACCACTCATGTGCAAGCTCATGCTCTCTCTGCCTGCACGAGTATTTACAATGGCAAAAGTCAAGCATGAAAAGCACGGATCTGATATTGCTGAGTGAACTTGCGTAGGTTCTACAGCATTGCAGTTATCTAACGAATGTGCGTATATACTAATGTGGAATCATTGAATGGTTACTCGAAAAGGTGTTGCCAGGTCTTGATTAATGAGTCGCGATAGTCGCCCAATCTATGAGATCCGTGCTGTGGAGCCTAGCTAGTTTTTAGCGTTCTGGCTTGCAACTGAGCTTCAATTTTAAATGTGATGCACCTTCTCTGGAGTTGACTTTATACAGTGAAACCTTTCTAATGTGCACCCAATCTAAACAAGCTAAGTGCCGAAATGTAGTTGGAGCGAGTCGTCGACACCATCTCTGTATTATCTAATCACATCTTCTGGCCACTAGACCGTACTGTATTGTTTTATGCTTACTTGATAGTGTGTACCACAGCCATTTATTTTTTCTCGCGCAAGGGTCAACGGTGCCCCTCAAGCATTTGTGGTCGACGCCACTATGAACCATAAAATCTTGGTCCTCGTCAGAAAGAGCAGTGAATGGTCGTCCAGTGGTTTTGACTTCTGCACGGATGCAATAATACCGGCACCCTTAATGATCAAAAGTGCCCGAAGGCCGTGCCGACAGCCTGCGACAGATGTGCCAGTATTGCTTATTACGGACATCCCTTTCGCCTAACTGTCTGCCCTGCAATACGTGTGGCGTCTCGCTGTTGCATGAGTACTGCATGCTTTCTTATAGGAAACAACATACACTGGATGCACTGTTGTTTCCTGCTGCCATTGGGCGCTGGACTACTCTAACTGCACATCAATTGCACAAATTAAATCATTATTGCCTTTGCAGCATTGGCGCAACAACATTAGACAGTTATAGTTCAGTGTTTACGTGATAGTAGGTGTTAAGGAATAGCGATACCGTACTGCTGACATTCGTTGCAGACAGCAAGATTTAGTTTAGCGGGATAGCGTTAACGTGCCCAAGCTGAGATGCTGGTGTCTCCTAGCAGATGGTGAATGTTAAAAAGAAAAAAGAGAGAAATTGAGAATGCTCACATGTGTCACCGCACCTAGCATAGGTAACTTTTTTAATGGTAACAATAAAAAGTAAATAAATACAAACTGCGCTCCAAAAGCGAAAATTTTTGTTGCAGATTTGTTTGCACCGATTTTCTATTCAGGCCTAGGAATGTTCGAAATGGGAGGCAGTCTCAAAAACTACGCAAATTTTTCTGTAATATGTCGTCATTGAAGCTACCTGAAAGCAGGTAAGCCATTTTACACAGCCGTTTGCTATGGAAGAATTGGATTCGTCCAGATCAACTGTTCAATTCAATTCGAAGTGAACGTACAAAGCCGCTGTCGTGTTTTACGTACTCTACGTTAACCACGGAAACACAGTAACACTATATTGAAAATGTAGTGCATGTATGGCAAACGTGATAGGCTGTTTAGCGCACTGGGCCTGTGTATTTGGATTCCTGCGATTCTGCTAAGCCTGTTCTCTGCTAAGACCACTAGACTATAACTCTATTGGCACTGCACCAGTGCACGATTGGTATCTGCATGGGCACAAGAAAACCTCAAGGCTAAAACACATTCACAGTAAACGCATGCGTACAGCATAGAAACCATTCTGGCGTAGGGGTGGCTTGCCCTTACTAGACAACACGTTACATGCACATAGCTGGAGGCAAGAGAATGCCTGCATACTTTTTTCAAACGTACTAGCTGTCCTTTGTTTTCTGAGGGTTCACGTTCACCTGTCACACTTAGTAAAAGTACATTGCTCCCCCTACAAAGGGCTTCTCGAATTTGCCGTTTCATAAAGTTAATCCGTGTTTTGTACATATTGACGTTGTAGAGTGGGAGGGTACACTGAAATTTCAGAACATTACATTACTACAGTGCCAGGGAAAATGGTTGACCTGTCGAAGGCACGAGCGTATCCTGGAAGACCACGTGAAGCTGGGTTTGCTGGCATTGTCAAAGTCAGAGTCAAAATTTATTATTAAAGTGGGTAAAGTTGCAAG